CCTCCCCCCACTTCCCGCTGGTGTGCAGCTCCTGCCTCGAGTAACCGTTTTAAAGCATCCACCTGTGGTTTCCGGTAGAGTCTTTGACCTTTCGTTAAAGATCCAACTTTACTAGGCAATTGATTTTTGCTGGTCTCTAGGGTGGTCATGGAGATGGATTCTGCTGTAGTTAATATTATCCTCTTTTTAGGACTTCTGCCAAGTGAGGATGTATTGTTAATGACCTTGTCTGGAGTTGATATACTGTGTAGTTGAGATGGTGGAAACTATGTGATGCTCTCCCTAATGACTTAATCTTGGACATGGAGGAAAGAGACCTTGCAGGGATACAGAGGGGACGGGTAGAGTGGATGCTGGCCTGGATCCCTTCCAGGCAGCACGGGGCAAGGGACACAGCACAGATTGAGGAGTTCAACAGCCCTCAGCTCCGAGCCCAGACCACCGCATCCCAGCTGTAGGACTCTAGGCCATTTCCTTCATCTGCCCGGGTGGCCATGCGCCATAGCTGCCTGCTAGCATGACTGTCTGGAATCAGTGAGACAGCATGGGTGAAACGCTTCACACAGGGTTTAACATGTCCTAGGTGCTCAGCAAATCTTAGCACTCTTTCTCTTTACCTTTCCTTTTCTTTTTTTCTTTTTCTTTTCTTTTTCTTTTTTTGCCTTGGAAAGAAACCCACATCACAAAGAATCTTACAGTGTTATGCACTCTTTCAGATGAAAGAAAAATAAAAATCTTAATATAGCTATCATATTACATGGGGAAACTGGAGGCCTAGGCAGATGAAATTGCACGTTCATTCATTCACTCTTCTACTGACTCTCCCACTGAGTGTCAGGAACTCAGCAAAAAGCGCAGCCTCATCTTCTAGACATATTTCAGGCCTCCTGTTGCTTGACTGCTCTGCAGATGAGACGTCCTCTGCCTCTTCCCCACGCCCTGCACTGTCCACAACCCATCCCCACTCACCGCTGCATATTCCCTGCTCCCTGGACTGGCAGGGCACAGCCTCTCCTGGTCTGCTGGTGGTGCAACACTCCCCAAGAGCTGATCCTGGACCTACTTCTCCTCCGAAAGTCGTATCCTCTCCCATAGCTTTTCGTGATCAGATCTGTATCTCGCTCCTGAGTTCCAAAACCGTGTAGGAACTATGTATTGAATGACTCCACATAGGTATTCTGTCGGCACCTGGAACTCAGCATGCCCCAACCACATCTTCCCCCATAGGCAACTTTGTTCCTACCCACACACCCACACACCCAAACTGGAAACCAGCATCAGCCTAAACCCCTTCCTCCATCTAACCCACACCCCATCCAATTACCCATCACTGTCTATCCATTCTACCTGAGAAATGTCTCATAACGTCTGTCCTCCCCATTCTCTCTCCCCTGGCACTGCCATAGTTCAGGCTCATATCATTCATTGGGATGACCGCATGAGCCATCTACCTGCTTTTCCTGCCTCCAGGCCCTCCCCACCCCTGTGCAGCCTCCACACAGGGCTCACAGTGACATCCTAAAGCACAGCTCTGGCCATGGAACCTGTATGCTTCTAAACCTTGCCTGCTGGATAAATTCCAGAAGAGCTAAGACATGAGACATGTTTCTCTTTTCCTATTCCAGGATGAACTATGAGTTCCAGAGGCAGAGCCTATGTGTTATATTTCTGTGTATCCCCTGTAGCACAGTACCCTGATTATGGTTTGTTCCCAGCAAATGTTTCATAGACTCTTAACGTGAGAGGCACCTTCAAGACCATCTAATCCAAACCTCTCATTTTCCAGGGACAAAAACAGAGGCTCGGAGATGGGAGAGAATTGCTTAAGATCACACACCAGCTGTGGTTGCATTCTCTGCATATCTGTAGCACTTTAGAGTTCATAAAGTACTTTCACGTACATTTTCTTATTTAATAATAGAAATAGCCATGTGAGGTGGGTATGATTATCCCATTATATAAATGAGAAAAGTGAAGCTCACACAGGTTGTAAAACCAGACCAGGATGACCCAGCTGCTGATGGACTGTCTTCTGATCCAAGTTCAATACTCTTTCGATCACAGCTAGTCATAATGTGAGGCACTTACTGACTATTCAATAATTATTTGTTGGATGAATTAACCTATATTTGAATGATAAGTGAACAGCCTGGCACAAGTGGGTAAATATATGAGGTCAGACAATTAAGTTCACAAACTCATCCTAGAAAAAGTGCCACATACCTCATTGCTGAATATCACTATGGTCACCTTCAAAGTACTCCCCTTAGGAAGCTATGCACCGATGCCAGCACCTAGTTCACCCTTCAAAGCAATTTTGGAACTCTTTCTGGAATGGCCATCAGAGCTATTGTTGTGTTACCCTTGATGTCCTGAATGTCATCAAAATGTCTTCCATTCAATATTTCCTTTATCTTCAGGGAAAGAAAGAAGTCATTGGGGGGCAGATAAGATGAGTATGGAGGGTGTTCCAATACAGTTATTTGTTTACTGGCTAAATACCCCCTCACAGACAGTGCTGTATGAGCTGGTACATTGTTGTGATGCAAGAGCCATGAATGTTGGTGAAAAGTTCAGGTTGTCTAACTTTTTCACACAGTCTTTTCAGCACTTCCAAATAGTAAACTTGGTTAACTGTTTGTCCAGTTGATACAAATTTATAATGAATAATCCCTCTGATATCAAAAAAAGTTAACAACATCGTTGCAACAAGTTGGCGAACTTAATTGTCAGACCTGGTATATTTATTGAATGGATGGCTAGGTGGTCGTATGTATACTTAATTCCCTTCTGATACTTGACTGTCTTCTCTCACAATGACCTTTTAGAAGTGAAAGGCCACACTTTCTTGAGTCAAATGCAATCAACGAGAGCCTTGCCAAGAGTAGGCAGACCCGGAGTGTGGATGCCCCGTTGCTGCCTATCAATTGTGAACTGTCCAGCTGGTCCTCCTGGACCACGTGTGATCCCTGTTGGAAGAAAAGGGTAAGTACCTAGGCCTGGGAGAACTCTTAAGTGCCCGAACCCCTAATCCTCAGCCAGATTGACTAAGGTACCACTGACACTATAGAGCCTCGGTAAATGTTGGCTAATTTAATTAATGAATTCTATTCCTCTGTGCTTCCAAGTAGCAATTCAATTCTTTCTTTGATCTTTCAGTTTTTTGGTGTGTTTTTTTTTCCCAAACACACCTGGCCTTACTCATGTTAACAGCTTTCTAATTAGGCTTCCTGCCTCCAAACTTGCTCTTTCAATCTATCTTTCCTGGTGCAACCAGTGGGAGGCATCAAAAATGCAAGTCTGGCCTGTCTTTACCCAGTTTGAAACCATTCAAAGCCTGCCTGTGGCTCTCAGGATCAAGTCCGTACTCAAGGCATTAAAGTCCTCTGGCCTAGACCTGGCCTACATCCCCATAAAATGTCCGCACTCCAGCACACGGAACACTTGTATCTATCTGACCATTTCACATATCTGTCTGCCTTTATTCATGCTGTGTTCACAGGAATGACCTTTCACTTCCTTCACTGACTAACACCTACTGAGAAGTTGAAGCTCTGCTCAGGGGCCACCTCCTTTGAGGAGCCTTCCCTGATTTCTCAGCCCCATTTACAGTTAGATAGGCACCCTTTTATGAGCTGCAATAGCTCCCCATTCCTCCCATATCCTAGCATTTATCATTTACTTTTCTTTTATTATTGACCTTACCATTAAACTGTGAGCTCTTAAGGCTTATTCAGTTCTGTATCCTCGGTGTGTAGGCCAACTTCTGGAATGTAATCGGTGCTCCATAAATACATGTTGTTTGACCTCATTATATTTTCTGATATCTCTGTCAGGAAGAGAGAACAGTTATTCTACTTCCTGTTAGGCAGATTGGTAAACAGAGGCTCGGAGCAGCTAAATGAGTTCTTGAGTTCACCTGGTACATGGCAAATACTGGCCTTGAGTTCAGGCCACTGGCTTCTTGTCTAGTGTTCTACCAGTCAAAACACACAGTCTGCAGTGTTTGTCCTTCAGGCTGCCTTGTCCTAGGAGGGCTGACCTAGGATCCCAGCTCTGAGAGCAGCAGATGTGTGAGAGAACAGTTGTCATTTCCCCAGCTCCTTGGAAAAGCAAACCAGCCATGGGCTAGGACCCTAAAGAGGTTGTGGAAATAAGCCCAGGACAGTTACACACTTAATCGGATCAATGTGGAGTGCCAGGCAGGATCATTCCGTCCCCAAAGTAGGCTTTATTACTGAAGTTATCAACATTGATCCAATTATCTGGATAACTGCTTCATCAGCACCATAAACTAGGAAGACTCAGCATGAGTCATCCATTCATCCAGCCATCCAGAGCCCTTCACTGGGGAGTTTGCTACACACTTCTCTTAGCGGGACATCATCTCTGTCTGCAGGGTCTCAGGCTGGGGGTTCATCAAAACCTTTCAACTGGAATTGGGAGATGTCTTTCCTCCATCATTTCCACACTTCTCAAACCTATTATGTCTTTGGCACTTGGGGAGAGTCTTCTAGTAATCATCTTTGCAAACCTTATTTCTAACCTTATTTCTGTCCTGCCAGCACTGCCTTCCAGGAATAAAGATCCTCTGGGACAACAAAGGAGCATGGGTGGATGGTTGTCTATATTTCTTTTTTGGATACTTAGATACCATACAAGTAATAACTATGACCGGTTGCCGTGCAATTCTGCAAAGGAGCTGCTAGCCTGGCTTGCCCCCTTTTGTTGCACCAAAATCTTGACTGCAACTAGCATTTAGAAGCCACCCAGATCTGATCACTTCCTTCCCCTGCAGTGGTTTCTCATTGCCTCATAATAAAGTACTAAATCCAACCTTACTAAGGCCCAGAGGCCATGCATCACCTACTCCTGGCTATGTCTCCCTTCATCCCTTGCCACTCGCCCTCTTGACTCTTCACTCCAGCCATTATAAATTTCTTTTTGTTTCTGGGAACAAGGCACATGCTCTCTGGTTTCTTAGTTTTGGCACAGCAATTTCCTCCACTTGAACTGCTCTCCTCTCCTCTCTTCACACCGGCTATCCGTGTTTGCCTGGCATTTCTACTTATCCTTTGGATCTCAGCTCAGATGTCACTTCCTCTTCTCCAAAGTTTGCATCAAGGATTCCCCTCATAGTTTACAGAGCACTCTGTACTTCCTCTACCATGGCACCCCTTGCACTGTGTTGTCACTGTGTGGTGTCCACCACCACCACCATCTGTGACATGCCTGCGGGCAGCCCAGAGGGCATGATTATGATTAAAAACAAGCAAAAGCAAGCATAAATAACACCTCTTTTTTTTTCTTTTACCATTGGGTGGCTCATTCAATATTGTGGAAATTCAATCAATATTCCTGGAATAAACAAACTAGAAGGTAGAGACAGAGAAAGATTGACTGCTAAAAATTATTAATGATAAAAAAGAAAAATAAGTACAATAAATTGAGTGCCAACTATGGACCAGACAATGAGATTTCATATGTACATCTCATAGATATAATTGAAACTCCATAACTGTACATTTAGGTAATTCATTATCTCCATTTTAAAGATCAATAAATTGAGGTCATAGAGGTTAAGTAACTTTCCCAGCATCACCTAACTAGAAAGTGTCAGAGTCACTTGTGGCTCCCAAGTGCATACTTCTGCATTTATAAGATACTGAATAAACTACAATACTTGAGTTAGCCCTTGGGAGTAATCGAGCTGAGAGATTGTGGTTTTGTGTTATTAAACTGGCCACATCAATCTTCTTACTTCCTTTTCACTCGTGCTTATCCCACATTCAGCAAATCTTTATTGATCACTGCAGAGGCAAGGCCCTTGCCCTCAGAGAGCTCACAGTCTAGTTGACATAGTCAGACAAACAGCCAATTGCAACATAGATCGGTAGGCATACTCCTCCACCCCCGAGGCCCCTGGGGCTCTGCCCTGGGCTCACCGTGGTCCTCTCTGCACCAGTACAGACACGCCACCTTGCTCCGGCCCTCTCAGTTCCACGGGGAACCATGCGACTTCTCTGACAAGGAAGCTGAAGACTGTGTTTCCAACGCACCCTGTAGAAGTCAAGTGCGATGTGAAGGCTTCGTGTGTGCACAGACAGGTATAAAAGGGACACAGGGGTGGGACGGAAAAGCTAGCACATTAGGTAATGGCATGTGATGATGGTGGCACTGGCCATTCCTGGTGCCGAAGATCAGGCTCACGTGTCAGGTCAGGTAGCCGCCTTGTCTTCAAATCTCTGACCTCCTTTTTCGTGTATTACTTCATAAAAAACAACCCAATAAAATGGGTGTTGTTATTATCCCCATTTTACAAATTAAAAAATTGAGACTTGGGGAAGTTACTTGCCCAAGGTCATACAGCAGGTGAGTAGAAGAGCTGCAATTAGAAATTTGAGAATTCAAATCACATTCACTGACATTAAAGACACCAAAAAGTATGTGTGCTGGAATCAAAAATCCTGAGTCAAGTCTCATTTTGATTTTGTGACCTAGGAGAAGTCATTTAACATTTTTGTATGTTGGTTCTCTCGACAGAAACTCAAAAGTGATGTGAATACCTTACAGATTTGTTATAAGCATTAAGTGACACCATGGATATGAAAGCTGGTTGCAGACTGTGAGCTCTGCTGGCGCTCTCAGAGGCTCGGGGATAAGGACAATGTGGGAAAGCCTGAAACAGTTAAATAAGGGTGATTAGCATCATTCATCTCTGAAAAATCTTTGATGAGCTAATCCCTGTCTTTTGCATTTCTGCATCACTGAGTCCAGCATAACCCCAACTGTGTGAAATAGTAAAACATTTTTGATTAAAGGAAGGAAGGAAAAAAAGGACAGGTGGATGGATGAACAGAATGAAGGAAGCAAGGAGCACACAAATGAATAATCATCAGTTGCAGAATTAAGTAAACACTTATCTTTTCCACTCATTCATTGGGCTAATTCAAGCAAACTCATGCCTCTCTATTTTTCCAAGTGTCCAGCAAAAATAAGAGTAGTTTGACCCAAATTATCTAGATGGAAGTCACAACGCTCTACATTAACTATACCCATGTATACTGTGCTTTGGGACCTTTCAAGAGTTAGGGACTCTTAGAACTATTTCTAGGGCTTATTGCAGATAACAAAATTCCATCCAATAAATCTGGAAGACTCTTTTACGGTGTGTCCATGGACTCATTATGGCCAGTGTTCCATGATTCTGACCAAAGCCATAATGGCTATTCAGGCAGGCTTTAGTTTAAGTGCCTTGTAAGAAACAATTTGAAGACTAGATTGTTATTCTGCCTTTTACACCCCAAGAACATCAGTTAAAAGTGACCAGACACATCTAAGGAAAGAGGGTTACCTATATTATGGACTTTATCCCCAAAGAATATATAAATAAGAAAGGAAAAAAGTCAGTGGAGAGAAAACTTTAAAGGAAGCAAAAGTGCTACAAATAATTCAAAGCAATTAGTCCATTCATTTTTATAGCCCAAAATGGCTATGGTGTTGAAGGTGGCGTGGGTTAGTAGAAAGAATTGTGATGAGACAGTTATAGGTTCCAATCCTGCTGCAAATATTTACTGACAATGTGCCCCTGGCCCACAAAAACACTAACTGTAGTAACAGCAACATTTATCAAGCACATACCATGAGTCAGTACCGTTCTATTTATTCATTTAAATCCCCAGCAACCCTAGAGGGTAGGTGTGACGACCTCTCTATTTTACAGATGAGTACACTGAGGCGGGCGCTAGTTAACCTATGGAAGGTCACACAACTAGGACTATTTGCAGGTCCCACCAGACCCATCCCTCTCCCTGGCCTCAGGCAAGGCGAGGGGAAGTCCAGACTTCCTTCCTGTCTGGCCACTCCACCCCTGCCTATTCAGCACTTTCCCTTTCCTCACCCTTAATAATCTCCCCTCAAAGTGCGTTCAGAAATACAACACTGGCCTCTTCGGGGGAATAAACTATAAATGCCATTACCAACACACCCTGATACACAAGGACTAGTCAAAACAGAGCATGAAAGGCGCAGACACTATCTGGTGCTCATACCACGTTCATTCCTCTGAACAGCCACGTGACTGCATGTGACATCTTTTTTCCATCCCAGGGAGGTGTATAAACCGCAGACTTCTTTGCAATGGGGACAACGATTGTGGAGACCAGTCAGATGAGGCAAACTGTAAAAGGGTTTTTAAAAAGTGTCATCAAGAAATGGACCAGTACTGGGCCATTGGCAGTCTGGCCAGTGGGTAAGTTCCTCTGTTGCTCTTGTGTAGATGGGAAGGCACATCATTAAATGTAATTCTAGGGAAAGAGAAGGAGGGAGCTGATGGGAATGGAGTTGCTCCTTTTTTTTCTTTCTGACAAGACTGTAGTGTCAGTGGATGTTTGTGGTGCACTGTGAGGACAATTCCAAGGAGCCCCAGGAGCACATCCATAGACAGACACGGGCGACAAGGAGAGCTGAGTTAGGAACACTAGGGACAGAGCTGTGGGTGGGCGGAGACCACAAAGGCTCCACGTGAGGGCTGAGCATCAATGTGTAGTTAGCTCCTGTCACGTGACTGTGAAAGGTGCTTTCTAAGCCTTACCTTTGACTCCTGTTGACAAGCTGTGAAGGAGGTTTTATCTGTTTCTGTAACCCTAGGCCCCAGCGTAGGGTCTGGCCCAGAGGAGAATCTCCTACGTAGTTAGTGAAGGAATGGATTTCCAGGATGGGTCTGCAGTCCATCTGTGTTTCCAGCTTTTGGGACTCTCTGAGTTAACCCAATCCCCTGGCGAGGTCAGAGGAGCACGGTCAGAAGGGACCACACTGGCCTGGCGTTTGCCCCACTGCCACGTTCTGCAGCTTCTCGGCCTCCAGCAGGAAGAGTGACAGTTCCCCTCACGTGCGTTAAAAATCATTGTATGCGACGCCGTGTGGGGAGAACAGTGACCCTGAATGGAATTCACCTTCTTCCTAAACAAAAATGAAGTCTCAACCCTTAAAGGTTGGAAAGAGAGAGAGAGAGAAAGAGAGAGAGAGAGAGAGAGAGAGAGAGAGAGAGAGAGAGAGGGAGAGAGACTCCTCATGTGGGGAAGACCTCCTCTCAGAACCACCTTTTAAGCTACTTCCTATAACCCCCACCTCCTCAGTAAGGAAACTGAGGCCTGGAAAAGTTAAGACACATCCCAGGGGTCATGGCTGTCATTCAGAGCAGACATTCAGAGCCAGCAGTAGAGCCTGACTGCAACCCCGTAGGAGGTGGCAGAGGGATACCTCCTTGGCTCTAGAACCTCAGCTGAGGCACTTGTCTATGTGGGGCTTTAGTTTTGTCATATGTAGGAAAAAAATCAGTCATACTCTTCTTTCAAGTTCTGTGCAGACCAAATAAGCTAATGTGCTTGTAATAAACTAATAAGTGAGAGGCAGCTTGTGTGGTGGGAAGAATACAGACTCTGTTCTTGAACCAGACCCTCAGATTTTGAATCCTGGCCCCACCAGTTGCTGCTGATAGTGAGACCTTGGGCATGTCAATCACCCTCTCTGTCCCTCACTTTCCTCATCTGTATAATGGATATAATAATAATACCTATCTCATAAGGTTATATCCTCATAAGGACTAAATGAGTAAGTACGTGTAAATTACTACAGTTCCTCCACAAAATAAGCAACACATTATATTTAATAAAATAAATAAATATACCTTATTATGCTACATGAAACTCTGTCATAGGAAAGGGAGCCTAAGACAATTCTATTAGGAACAGAGCCCAGGCCAGTGGGCAGAAGCTGAAAGGAGACAGAGCTCCTTTCAATAAAAAATAAAAATTAAAAAAAACATGAACTTTCGGTAGTGGTCAGAGGTGGTCCAGTTGGAGCCCTGCCTTAGGAGGCTGTGAGCAAAATAATGTCTAAGTAGAGACAGGATTTTCATCCTTTCTGCCCAGGGCGTCAGGGACACTACGTAAGGTATTACACTGAGCCATCCACTACTGTCTGTTTACAGTTAGACCCTCAGTAAGTGATAATTACTTCAGTGTCTTGTGATGTGGGTCATCCAGAAATTCAGAAGAAAACCATCTTCAAGGGGCACACAATCTAGAGGGGGCAACAGACACCTAAGTAAGAACAAGCATCATCACAGACCAAGCAGCGTGCTAAGCACTTAACAAATATGGCCCAGGTACTCCTCACAACAACCCCCTGAGGTAGGTATTCTCCTTGATCCCATCTTACAGATGAGGAGACCAAGGCACAAAAAGGTGTGCCCAAGGTCATGTAACTCATAAATGGCAGAACGGGTTTGCCCGCAACCATCTGGCTCCAGAGTCCGTGTTCTTCCCTATTATGCCAAACCAGCCTTGTAAGGACAACAAATGCATGCATGGGGCAAGCACAGGGTCTCACGAGGGCTTCTTACCCAGCTTGGCACAACAAGTGTCAGTGAAGACTACCCGCAACAGCCAATGACAGAGCTCAACTTTGAAAGACGAGTAAGAGAGAAAACACTGAATGACAGGAAGGGCGTTCTAGGCACAGGGAACAGCCTTTACCCATAAGAGAAGGAGCAAAGTACATGGGAAGACGAGCAGGCCTGTCCACATGGCTGGGGACTAGGGTAGGTGGTCATGGTTCGGAGTGGCCAGACATGAAGGGGGAAAGCGGGTTGCAACAGACACGCAGGGCCTTGAATGCCGTGCCAAGGGATTCTGTGAGCCCACCTACCATTTGGTAGGACTACCAGTTGAAATTACGTAACCTGCCGCTTACCCATACCTCCTCTGCCTCTCCGTGTCTTCCCTGCAGGATTAATTTGTTCACAAACAGCTTGGAGGGTCCGGTTCTCGATCACAGGTATTACGGCGGTGGGTGCTCCCCCCATTACATACTGAACACGAGGTTTAGGAAGCCATACAACGTGGAAAGCTACACCCCACAGGTAGGTGACAGCCAGGAAGCCACTGCGAGGCACTGGAGGGAGCACTTGCTGAGGAGCCAGCGAGCGTGGATTCAAGGCCTGGCCTGCTGCCTGCTGGCTGGGCGAGCGCGGGGGCATCGCTTTTTTGCTTTGAGCTTCAATTTTTCATGTGTAAAACGGACGGTTCCTTCCTCAAGACCCAGTAGTGAGGTGGACACGCTGTATATAGTAACAGCAGTATTTGTAATAGCAGAAATTATACTGACCATAATATCCAAAGCTACCATGAAGATAGGAGTACAGCTTAGGATTTGGAATCTCACAGGCCTGGTGGCTCTGCAGTGTACCACCTGTGTAATCCTAAATGCTCTGAGCCTCCATTTTCCAATGTGGCATTTCTCACTCTCGTTGAACACAAAGTGCTTGGCATTATATTTAAATTAGGAGTTATAAAGGTTCTACCCTGCAGGGAGAGGATCAGTGAAATAATGTATGTAAATGCTTAGTGTACACGGTACCTGGTCGCGTGGTGTGTCCTCAGGAAAGTTAACTCTTCTTGTTGTTACAAAGCCCTTGCCTATTAGAACCAGGCATCGCTGTAAGCATTGGAAGCTATAAAATGCTCTACCAACATAAGCCTGTTATGATTAACACACAAACGTAAAAGCAGCCTCACAGAGAATGGGGTTTAGAACAGAGTGTGTTACTGGAAGACACGCACACTTAAGATCTGGGGGGATGACGCTGGGGTTCGAGGCCTGGCTCTGCCACAGGCCCCAGTGTTACTTCAGGCTCAGATCCTTTTCCACGCTGGGCCTCAGTTTCCTCATCTGAACAATGAGGGGGCTGGACTAGATAACCTGGATGGTAGTTTCCACTTCTAAAATTGTGCAGCCCTGAAGGTTAAGCAAACTACCCCGCCTCCTTCCCCCTTCCTACTCCTCTTCTCCCCACACATACTTATCAGGTAAGAAAGAAAAAAATGAGGCTTGGGACAAATGTGCCCTCCCCCACACAATACAGTGCCATCCCCACAACCTCTACCTTCAAGGGCACATGTTAGAACAGCCATTTATATCATCCAGGTTAACATAGCTTCTGACCCAGGCAGGATATATATCTTGAAGTCTCCTCTCTTCATAGCCAATGTGTTTTGAGCACTGTGCCAGGCACTATACAGTGTTGTACTCATATAAACTCAACTTTTGGAACAAGCCCAAAAGAAGGAACAATCATCGTCTCCATTTTACACATGAAGACACCGAGGCATGGAGAGGTTAAGTCAAATGCCCAAAGTTACCCCACTAGAAAATGGCAGTGACGCATTCCACCTCAGGCAGCCTTACGCCAGGCCATGCTCAGAACCAGTTTTGCTTTCTTTCCCTGGCAGCTAAGGTGTTACGGGAACTGCAAGAGGCTGATGGGCTAGGAGTGGATATTTGTTGACTTGTATGGAACTGATATGAATCAAATGGAATAAGGAACATTTCCTTTTTTCTTCCTTTAGACCCAAGGAAAATATGAATTTGCGCTGACAGAATATGAGTCGTACTCAGATTTCGAACGTAATGTCTCAAAGTCAGAAGCCCGACAGTCTAGTTTCAGCTTTGGTTTAAAAGTATCTGGAGTATTTGAACTTGGCCTTAACATGGCCAATGATAACGCCCAACATTTTGTTCGCAGAACTAAACGATTCGCTCATACTGTAAGTACCCCTTTTGTGGCTCTTGAATTTCTATGTATTCATTTGATTTTGTATGCCCATCGGTGTGTCTATATTCCACATTACTACTCCTAGCAACCAATTACATTTCTATTATCTTGAAAATCTTTACACACACACATACATACACACACAGCATGTTCTTTTGTTAACTTGCTTTTTAGAAAGATCAGGCAGCCTTTCTCTAATTATTTACTCTCATTTTCTTTCTTTTTTTTTTAAGATTTTATTGGTGAATTGGGGGAGGAAACAGCATTGGGGAATAGGGGAAGGGGAATAGACAAGTTGCTGTCCTTTTGTTCTTCAGTCTAGTTGTGGAGGACGTCGCTTCACGGGCCCATGTTGGTATTATAATCATTGCATTCTTCCCAGCTGAGGCAGGTCAGTTGCTGGCCATTGGACGGCCACTCACGGCAGTTCATGCTGGCTGCCAGCCTCTCACACTGTTGTTCACCATCTTAGCTGTAGAGGGTGCAGCATCACTGGCCCATGTGGTATCCGAACCGGTGACCCTGCTGCTCAGAGCTCACACTCCCAAGCCGACTCTTAACGAGCCACTCGGCCGACCCTTACTCTCATTTTCAATAAGCTTTTCCCCTTGGTTTTCATAAATTTCAGATTGTAGCTTTGCTAGACCAGTTTATCCCTGGAGACTTTTGAAACCCAGCAACCTGACTTCCATCGCACACGTTCAGCTGGCCTTCCTCTCTGGGGTGTCACCCGAGACCTTTTCTCTGACTTCTTGGGGGCATGTGGTGGAGTTGACCTCATCACCGTACACCTGTTTCTCCTGCCTTCTGCCTGCTCCTTAGCAGTTCCCTTCCTGGGTTCTGATATCCCCACCTGGTCTTTATTTGGTTTGTGGCATCTTCCCTTGTTACTCTGCAGCCAGCCCGGGTGGCCTCTTGTACTCACCTCCCCCCTGTACAAGGACATGAGCCTTCATCTCTGCTTCTCACCTTTTCCTAAGCTCTGACCTGGACCACCCGCTCTTCTGGGCCTCAGGACCTGGATGCCTCACACTCCAAAGCAAGTTCTTCCTCCTAAATTTTCTGTGTGAAATATTCTTTTTCTTCTACTTTTCCAGGCTAAGTATTTCAGAGTCATAGTTGGCTCTCTTTTCATTTCCATATTTGTTGGTCACCAAATCCTTCCATATCACTCTTCAATATTTGTTCATCTAATTCTGATTATATCTTAATGAGCCCGGGCCCTTTCATCTCTTGCTCTGACCTCCTAAAGGGTCTCCTGTCTTCCAACTTGCCCCTTTAAATTTATGTGCTGCCAGAGAAATGTTTCTACAATGCTAATCGGATCATGTCATCTGCTCCCTATTGCTCACAAGGTGAAGGTCAAAGCCCATGACTTGGTGGAAGAGGAGTAATTGGAATGGGGAGTAATGGGATGTGGTGTTGAAGGACAGGTAACAAGCAGATTTGAGGAACCTTAACTTCTAGAGGAAAGAAGGTGCCTTTTCTTCTCTGAGAGTTTGCAACATGGGTGTGACATGACAGAAAATTAATCTGAGAGGTCCATGGAGGAGACCAAGACTACACGTCAACAGCGATTTATAGGAGGAAAAAAAAGGGGGGGGTGAGGGGTTCAGAAAGGTCTCTGCTGCTGAAATACCAACCAGCAGAAAATGAGCAGTAAACATTAATTAGACTGTAATTGCCTTTGCTTGTTTTCCTTATCTTCTAGGCTGTGAGCTCCGTGGAGGCAGAGGCTTTGTTTTGTTTTGTTTTAGATTCAGGGTGGCACTTTGTAGACATCCATTTCAAGACTGAATATAGTGATGAAGGGATAGGACTGATTAAAAGGAACGGACCTTGTTAGGAGAGAAAATGAAGGGTACCATCCATTTACTCTCTCCTTCTTTTCCTCTCTCCCCCTCCTTTCCCACCTCCCTGATTCATAGAGCCACTTACATTGTGCTAGGCACTAAACTAGAAACTTGGGACCTAAAGACAAAAATAACATGGTTCTTGCCTTCAAGCTCACAGCCTAATTAGGAGAAATAAACATGTATGCAGATAACTTATTCCTAACTTTTTAATATCAGTTGTAATACAGCACGGTGTATGCTGTAAAGGAAATAGAAGCAAAGTGCAATGCAACCCCAGGAAATAGAGTGTGTGTCTAGGAAATTCAGAGATGGCATCAAATAGGTGGCAACAGCTAAGAAGGGATTTAAAATATAAGTAGGTGTGTGTCCAGCAGAAAAGGGTGGGAAAAGCATTTCAGGCCTAAGGAACAGCATATGCAAAATTATGTTATGAAAGAGAATGGCAGATTTGGGGAACAGGGAGAAGTTGGATGATGCTTGATGTATGGTGTGGATGGTGGAAAATACTAAGGTATGGGGAGAAGTGGTTGAAGGCTGTAGACGTGGAAGCCAGAGAGGCTATTGGGGAACAGATTGTGAAGCTCTTATGTTCTAGGGAGTTGATGTTATTCTGGAGGCAACAGAGAACCAATTCAGGGTTTTGTTTTAAACCCAGAGGGGCATTATAATACTATCAGAATTTAAGATGTCAGTTCTCATTGGCACTGAAGTCCAGCTAGAAATAGAAGAGAGATCAGTGGGAAATATAATAACCCAAGCAAGAGGTGAAGCCTAAACTATTTAGAAAAATCACAAACAGAGCGCCTAGTGACTTCTTAGGTTGGAAGGGTAAGGAAGAAGGAAAAGAGTCATGAGTCACTGGCGCAGGACTAGACCAGGGTGAGAGCAAGGCAGGGACCAGTGAGGGCGCCTGGGTGGTTGGCAGCACTGGAGCCGGTGTGGCTCTATAGAGCTGAAGGTCAAACTGGCCGAAAGTTTTAAGAAAGGGGCAGAATGTACCTCCCAGACACTTTCCACCTTTTCACCTTTGCCTCTGCCTCCGCAGCCGTATAGGAACCTTTCAATTCAGGTTATATTAATACCCCCTGGAGGTCTGTACTTCATCTAGCGTCACCAACTTTCAATCGATCCCACATGCCAGGAGTCACCAAACTTTTCCTGTAAAGGGCCAGCTAGGAAACAGGTTAGGCTCTGTGGGGCCGTAGGGCTCTGTTGCCACTACTCAGCTCTGCCATTGCAGTGTGACGGCAGCTATGGATGGAAACAACTGGGCCTAACTGTATTCCAATAAAACTCTAGTTACAAAACCAGGCACCGATTTGGTGTGCAGGCTGTAGTTTGTTGTCTCTTGCCAGTCACTGTACAAAGTCTAGCCTTCCTAAAATACCACTTTTACTCTTTCTTGAGTGGCTTTTCTTTAGAAAAGCATAAACAAAGAAGTTGCCTTTACAGGTCAGCAAACCCCGATGCCCATCAGAGTGGCCCCATGTGCCCAGGCTGTTCCCTGCCGCGTCTGTTTCTGGCGCCCTCCCCCTCTCACTCCTGCTTTGCTACTGTAAGGAGATGAGCGAAGAGCTAGCTCTTCCAAGCTGCAAAGGACATCCAAATATTTATGACACATGAGAGCTTGTCAGAGAGGCTGTCTTCCCTCAAGTATCCTAAAGGAACCATAAGATGGATGACCCCGGGCCAAACACATTGGATGGTGTTTGTAAAGTTCATCTTCTTGTTCCAGATTCCTAACTTTAAAGGTCTGGTTTTCCCATGTTGGTATTTCATTTAGAGAAGCAGATTTCTGCACGCGCGCTCCAAACTGGAATCGGCACATTACAAGCTGAAACCCCGAAGCCTCATGCTCCATTATGAATTCCTCCAGCGAGTCAAGCAGCTGCCCCTGGAGTATGGTTACGGGGAGTACAGAGACCTCTTCCGCAGTTTCGGGACCCACTACATCACAGAGGCTGTGCTTGGGGGCATTTATGAATATACACTCATTGTGGACCAAGAGGCCATGGAGAAATCAGGTACCTGGCCCAAGGGACAGTGGCGTTCCTGCCAGGGCACACATGAACCACGTGGATGGATGGGGAGAGGCTTCCGTGTGTTCTTGGGAGAAGAGTTATAAGTTGTGCTCCCAGTTTTCCTTCTCCCTCTCTGGCTATACTTCCACAGTTTCATTTGCAGATTCCTCCTCTTTATTTTTTAACTTGTTAGTACTGATCCTCCACCCAGCCCTCTGTCTGGGCAGTCCTCTTTTCTAAAACTACTCTTTATAGACAATAGCACCTTATCTCATGGCTTTAAATGCCTTCAACATGCAGATAACTCCCAATTTATATATCCATCCTGGATCTTTTCTGTGCAAGCAAGAGCTTATGTCAAAATGCCTCCTTGATAGCTCCATTTGAATGACTAACAATCATCACAATCTTAACATGCCCCCAAAGAGAACTTGTGCTTTTTTTAACCGAAATATGTTTCTTCCATAGTCATCCACATCTCAGAGGGGTTCCACCACCCAACCAGTGGTTCAAGCTAAAAACCTAGGAGTCAACCTTGATTAAGTTACTTTCCTTTCAACCTTGGAGCAAGTCCCATCATCTCTACCCCAAAATTATATATTCTCTCTATCTTTTAACTATTACAATCTTATGCTCACCCCCGGGGAACAGTACTCCTCAAAATGTGAATGTGAATTTTTGAAGAATCTTGTAAGAGGCAGATTCTGATCCAATAAGATTCAGGTGAGCCCCAAGATCCTGCATCTCTAGCAAGCTCTGGGGGTGATGTCAATGCTGCCAATCCATAGATCACACTTTAAATATCAAGGTTACAGATTATTAGCATAGCCTCCAAACTAATGTTCAACTCCCGTTCCTCCTCTACAGTAGGTTCTCCATACAGATATTACAGGTCTGCCCAGCTGCAATCGACTACAAGTCTAAGATGTGATTCCCACTTCTCAATCCAGCATTCCTTCAAACAATATGGCACTTGTCAGGTTTAGCGACCTGCTCTACATCACACAGTTTATAGTGGCAGAGCCAGGGCTTGGTTGTAAGTCCAGGGTACTTGATGGGAGACACATGGTACACAATGTAAACTGATGTCATCGTGGCCTCAGTTTTGCCAAAATCGAGGGTACCTTTATCCACACCAGTGGTTTCAAAAGTGTTCTCCATACTTCCTCAAATAAGCTCTGTGATAAAGTAAGTGGGGGTGACATAACAGATCCCACGTTTAGAGTTTCACAAGCATACTGCCGTAAAATGACCTCTTCACCTCCTCTGATACAACATTAGTCACACTTCCTTCCTTCCCACAGAAGCCCTTTTTTCTTATAAAAGTTACTAAGTGTAAGAATTATAAGAGAGGTTATCATGGGATTCATGTTTCAAGGAACGTGCCTGGGGGAAAACCGATCTACACTAACGTTACTAGACAACCACAGTAGTCAAAATTGCTCTCTTGTCCTTGCGCTAGCCTCCAGGTGCTACGGAAAGGTGCTTACAAGTCACACCTGAGATTTCAGCAAGCCCAGGGGAGGAGGAGGCCTTGGGGAGAATTAGGGAGGGCCAAGTGGAAAATGATCCAAAAAATAAAGAAGAATTAAGGGAAATGGGCCCCTCCTCTTGGCCGGGTACTCTACAAACACATTGTGTACATTACCTCAATGAATCAGCTAACAGCTCTTTCCACTGCACCAGTGATTAGAGAAGCGTGGGTCAGAGGAAGGCAGACAGGTGGCAGCAGCCTGTACTCCCTGGCTCAATCCCTAGAGACTTGATAAGAAACCGCATTTTTAGAAAAGAACTCAGTACTCTCATCCTTCGGTGGGCAGCAAAGCCCCTCAGAGTCTTTGAGGAGGCTGAAAAGGGAAGCTGACATTGGTCTCCTATGAGGTCTCTGCCCTGGGGCAGTAGCTGCCTGCCTTTCTTGTCGTTAAGCTGACTACCCATTTATTTGAACCTGTACGGCCCCCACGACATCCAAGAAGGGATAGGCCTCCGGAATCTATCATAGGAAAAGGGACAGGATAAGTTACCGGTAAGCCATGAGGATGTTTTCTTGCTTCCTGCAGCTTATTCTCTTAAGGATTTCCATGCCTGTGCCAAAGCTGGCTTTAACGTTGGTGGTACCGTGAAATCGGTCTACGTCAAGCTGGGTGTGTCGCAGGCAACATGCAACAATATTCTGAGGGAAATCAAAGGTGAGTGGCGGGGGCATGTGACTTCTGTGTTTATCATCTTTCCCTCTGCACCCCCAGGGCCTTGTCTTTCTTTAAGCTAAATATTGGATATTCCAAACATTTTAATTAAAATAATAATCACCCATTCATTAAAAATTGACCTAGCCCCTACTATGTGCTGGGCCTACAAAAATGAATAAAGTGGTATTTCTGTCTTCATGGTGCTCCCGTGAAGCAGGCAAGCAAAGAGCCAACGACACGACAGTGGTAAGTACCAAACCCAGGCCTGAGCATCCGGGCGGGCTGCCTAAGGGAGGGACCATTGAATTGCCCCAGAGGAGTAAAGCAGCACAATTGTGTGCTAGGCAAAAAACAAAAAAACAAACAAAGCCTAGCAATGAACATTTAGTCTGGGGGCTGGGAGTTGGCCTTGGCTACAGGTCGGGTGCTGGGATCTGGGGCAGGTGGACGAGGTGGGGAAGGCAGGTGAAGAGGCGAGTCCTTACCTAAGGCAATGAGCGACACAGAGACTAGAAGAGCAGGCAAAGCCACACATCATGTAGCAGAGCCCACATGGCGGGAGAGACCAGATCGGAGGGATGTAGTGAAGCCAGGTATAGAGCCAGGTGTCTCAGGAGCAGGGATCCTGAAGGCCATACAAGGGAGTTGGGATCAACACAGCGAGCGGAGTAGGAAAGAGGCTGACGGATCAGCAGGGTTCCGGGCCCCAACCCCTCTGCCCCTCCAGCAGCTTTACTTCATCTGCTTTGCTTACTAAGCTTATGTGGAGAACGTTCCACAGGCGAAACAAAACAACAACGAAAATTAACTGCTGGTCGAGAACAATCTCTTGCTCTTGTGAATGATGTGTGGTTGATATCATTGCTTATTTGTTCATTTTGGTGGGGCTGCGTTAGAAAATGTGTCCTGTGTAAGAAGGCATGCATAAAACATAGGTGTTCCTTAAAGAAGATTTGTAAAGTTATCCCCCATCCAGGTCACTCAATACAACATTGCTCAGCACCCCAGAAACCCCTGCGGTTTCACAACTCCTCCCTTCCTTTTGGAGATAACACCACCTTGACTTCTGTGTTAAACATGTTCTTCCTTTCTTAATAGTTTTACCACCCATATATATCACAACCTAGGGTGGCTTAGTGTTGCTTGTTTTTGAACTTCATATAGATGGAAAGCAATCTTTTCAGCTCTGTTTTTTGTTTTGCTTTGCTTTTCATTCAACATCATGTTTTTGTGTGTAACTATAGTTAATTCATTTCCATTGCTGCATAGTATTTTATTGTATGAGTGTTACACTTTGTATTGTCCATTTTAATGTGGCATTGGGGTTATTTTCTATTTCAAGCAATTATAATCAGCGCTGCTCTGACATTCTTAAGTCATCTGGTGCAATGTGCAAGCGTTTCTAGGAGTGGAATAGCTGAGTTGTAGAGTATGTACTTTTTATAGACTAGATAATGCTGAGCTGTTTTCCAAAATGGTTGTACCCATTTACACTCCTACCAGCAGTATACAGGACTCCCTTTATATGATGCTCAGATGTTGCAGGCTCAAAGCTAAGTAGTCACTTTACACCAGTTTTTTTGACATTGGGCCTATAGACAGGTTAGAATTGGAATTACTCACTGATATGATTGAGGGATTTCTGGGAAACTCCATAAGAAGTCAAAATAATAATCACTTTATAGTGGACACTAGAGCAGCGGTACTTAACCTGTGGGTCGTGACCCCTTCGGGGGTCGAATGACCCTTTCACAGGGGTCGCCTAAGACCATCGGAAAACAAAAAGATATTTACATTATGATTCATAACAGTAGAAAAATTACAGTTATAGAGTAGCAACGAAAATAATTTTATGGTTGGGGGTCACCACAACGTGAGGAACTGTATTAAAGGGTTGCGGCATTAGCAAGGTTGAGAACCGCTGCTCTGGAGGATATCTATTGCATGCAGATCCCAGCCTTTACAAATTTCCCAACCTTTGTCATCCCACAGAAAGAAGTGATATTGCTTAAAGCTTGAGTAGGGCTATCTGGGTAAAGTCCTTCATACCCAGTGCCTAAGATATGTTATCTGCAAAATAAGGATTATATAGTTCCTATTTCATAATGAAGATTGAGTTAATACATCTACAATAGTTAAATTAGTGACAGACATGTAAATGATCAATAATCTATCTACCAGTCTATTTACCTATCTATGATCTATCAATCTACCCATATGTATGTATATATGTATATAGGTATGTATCTACTTATTAGCTATCTATCTACTATCTATGATCTATCAGTCTATCTATATATAAATCCATCCATCTGTCTCTTTATCTACCTATCTAACAGATATCTATCTTCCATAGACTCACTTAGTGACTGACATTTATAGATGCTCAAAATAAATGTCCCTTCCTTGTCCTGTCCCCATCTTGTGTCATATATGATTGGGTGAGCTGCCTTTTGCCTCTTGCATGATGGCTCCCTTGCTGGCAGGGAAGTGTCTTGTCCACTCGTGTCTCCAAGGCAAACTCAGTGAATAGCATGGTAACCAGGTTGTTGATTGGGTTACAGTAAATCCCAAGGTGCGAAAGTAGATTCCCTGACATGCAGTGTCTCTGTGTGCATATCAGACAGAAATAAGAGGCAGACCATGGTACAGGACTTGGTGGTCCTTGTGAGAGGAGGAGCAAGCGAGCACATCACTGCCCTGGCGTACAAGGACCTGCCAACAGCAGACCTGATGCAGGAGTGGGGCGACGCGGTGCAGTACAACCCAGAGATCATCAAAATTAAGGTACAGCTGGGCAGCTGCTCTACCCATCCCCTCTCTGTTTAGAAAACAGCTATGAGGGGCTAGTATGAGCCAGAGTATGGGATACAGAGCTCAATAAGACCCAGGCTCTAATCTTGAGGTACATACATTATAGTGGAAAATATATCTGGAATGCACTGATTATAATGTACTGTCAGCCCCAGCTGGAGACTACAGACCCCTGACTCCCATTCACTAGAGCCCCCAAGTTGCTAAAGAAAATTAACCCTCATCTTCTAATTCCAGCCTTCTTAAATTAATATTGTTTCCATTTCATCATGGAATTACTCATTCAGTTATTTGTTCATATAAGCATTCATCCAGGCAACCAACCAACAGTTGCTAAGTTCCTGCGCTGTGATAGGAACTAAGGAACTGGAGGAAAACAGAGGGAGGTGCAAGGAAGAAAAATACAGTCTATGCTGAACAGTAAGACACATGCAGGCATAACTATCTTATAGGATAGGATGACACATCAAAGTAATCACTGGCATCTTTTGGGCACCTACTATGTTCATGACACCCTGCCAGAGGCTTTCACAGTGTTATTTCATCTAATCCTCACAAGCTTTCAAATTAAGTATGCTTATGTCCATTTTGTGGCTGATAAAAATCAAGTTCACACAGGTTGCACCCGTCTGTGGCTGCTCAAGAGCCTCCGTTAGGTCCAGACCTGAGACTTGCACCTCTTCTCTCCCACCAGACTTTCCTGTGGGTTTGATGAGTAGAAAATAATGATCGCAACCACCTGTCACCAAACAAGAGCAGCTGTGCAAACTTAAGCTAAAAAGACGTTTGCTAGCGCAGGACTGTCATACACATCAGCACTGGTAGCTCCTTGCCTGTGGGGCCTTCAGCACGGTGTCCGTGTCATACCTTACACCGTCCTCTTCTTGCCAGCTTCTTTACAGGCGTTGGCGGTCCAGGGTCCACTCCCCGGGGATTTCGTCTTGCAGCCGAGGAGGGGAGTTGAGGGGCTGAAGCTCCGGAGCTTCCAACCTGGCCATTTCCCACAGGGTCTTTATTTGCATGTCAAATGCATAGTTTCTGCAGAACAAGAAGGCTGCCATTCAACCCCTCTCCTCTGCCACGTAGTCAGTAGTGACACTTAGGTGAACATCGGGATGGATACAGTCAGCCACAGGTTGCAGGCAGCCCCAGAGAACTCTGGGATTAGCCGAAGGCATGGTGACATTGGTTGGCATCACATATGGGCATGGGGGAGAACAGAGTTCAGAGGAAAATAGATCCCTTGTATTTACTTTTTACTTATCTCTTACCTGAATCTTTTACTGGATTGCCCTGATTACCTATCTAAATAGGTTGGATATGATGCCAGCCTGGGCATTGGGAAGGTCAAGTGCCAAGCATATGATATGATATGGGATGTAGTGTGTGTGTTTCCGTGTGTTGGGGCAGGGGGAGGGTCATATTAGCGTGCTAAGCATCTCAAACAGGCCTGCAAACAACCACAGACATGCAGCACTTTATTGACAGCACAGAGGCTTCCCAGCACGTGTGGGATGTAGTGGAAAGTCAGACCCACTATCAGTGTAGTGCTAGGAAGGGCTGTGTGGGTGGAAAGGGGAGAGGTGATTAGGGAATCAGAGATGTTTTCAGGAGCAGGGGCAACGGGGTTGCTGAAGATTTTTAAGCACTTCCTCTGTACGCGCCTAATCTGAGTTGGAAACATATATTCTGGGCATCCCGCTCCTTCCTGCAGTTTCTGGCAAGAGAAAACTGCAGATGGTTTCACATTGTCTCAGACAAATTCTTCTCTGCAGAGTCAGCTTACCAGGTAGCTGGAGGAGTGATTGCTTTCCAGGACACCGGAGCCCACTAGATAAAGCAAATTCTAGACACAGTGTTGGCCAAAGCTGTGTACATAAACCAATGTTAAAGATCAAGATCTGAAACATGATTTCTGTAGGAGCCAGGGAGGCAGGGAAGAAAACCACAGGAGAGCCCATTCACGCTGTTTACTGGTAAACTTTAGACACAGAGAGATGGCTCTTTGATCAAAGGAGAATGAAGAGAAAGCACTAGGCATATAAAGAGAATTCTGAACACAAAAGATTGGCATGACATTGAAGACAAGTGTATGCGTCTAAACTATAGAGACACAGAAGTAAACTTTAGAATGCATTTGCTTTGCGATTATAATGAAATTCAAGGAAATGACGGATTTATGAAATCAAAAATAGAAGCTGAGATGTTTAGACACCAGTCAGATGAAAAGCGAAGTAGCTGAATATAGGGAGCCAGAAGCACAATAGCAGAATTAAAACCTACATTGGAAACTATAAAGAACAGAATTGACACTGCAGAAAATCGAGTCAGTGATGTGGAAGATGCTATAAAAATGTTCTTATAAGGTAGACGCAAAAGACAACGAGATTAAAACAACGACATAAAAGAAATGTGATGGACAGAGTACAGAAGTTGAATTCTAAAACTCAGGGACTCGTTCCTGAGAAAGAGACAACATTGAATGTGAAGATGCATTAATCAAACACATAATGAGGGAAATTTCCCTGAGCTGATAGTGCAAAGTGAGCAGCTCATTGAAAAGTAGGCAAAAGTACTGAAAACAAAACTATACTGAAAAACATGCTGGTGAATTTATTTTTGTACTTTTAGAAACAAATATATTCTATGAAAATAAAAGTCATACTGGTCTCAGGATTCTTTGCAACACTAAATGCCTGAAGATCATGGAGTGATAACCATGAGGTCTGGAAGGAGAAAGTGAAATGTCCTTAATGGAAGAAACATCCCAGACACTTTGAAATATTAAAGGAATCACATACAGGGTGGCCAGATTTAACAAATGCAAATGGAGACTCTCCAGTTAAATCTGAATTTCAGACAAATAAGGAATGGTTTTTTTAGGATGAGCACCTCCCCAATATTTCATGGGTCATACTTATACTAAAAACGTATGTGCTGTTTATCTGAAATTCAATCTTAACGGGGCATTCTGTATTTAACTGGCAGCCCTAGTCACAAAGTCTGTCATCCATGTATATTTCTAGTGTAGTCAGGGTAGCTAGCTTGTGGTCTGGGATCCAGGCTACTGATGGACAAGCCATTGTACGGAGCGTGAGCACTGCTCAGGGTAGGAAGGAAAAACAGAGTAGTGAATGGTGCCCACATAGCGGTCAGGAGAGCCCAGGTTATGCTGCAGTGAAACAAACCCCAAAGCTCACTGACTTAGTACAACAAACGTTTATTGCTTAATCACACAACGTGTCCAAAGTGTATTAGCGAGGGGGCCTTTCTCACCGTCACTCAGGGATTGAGGCGATGAAGGCTTTATCTTGTCATGTGCTCCCAAGGTCACCACAGCAGTGGTAAGGGGATGAGAAAAGTGACCTCACTCTGCTCCAAAAGCTCCCTCCAGGAAGGGACACTCCTTCTGCTTACCTTTCACTGCTCAAAACAAGTCACATTGAAAGCCTATTCGTAAGGATGGCAGGGAATTGCAGCCCTGCTACCTGCCCACAAATAAAAGACACTGATAGATTTGGTAAACGGTGATAATGGCCATGCCGCCTTTCTAAAACAGCTTAGTCAAAGGTTCTCTAAGAGCAAATTACTCTGACCAAGAGAAGGTTTAAAATACAGGTGCTGTGGTAGCATTGCCTGGTAAAATAATGTTGGCCTTGAAGCTGAATATCATCCCCAGTAATGAATTCTAAATTTCAAATAAGGAAACCATGAATGTAATTAAATGGCAGGTTACTCACCAACAAAATGGTTTTGCCACAAATGAAATTCTTAATGTGTAAGGAATGGTGTAGTTTATAAGACACGTCTCAAAGAAGTGGACAGCTCTCAGAAGAACTCAGGTAATGAATGCATATGCAAAATTTTTAACTTCTCTAGGAATAAAAGTTAAACTAACAATGCAGTATTATTTTTACCTAGCAAATTGACCATGATTAAAAATCTATAATAGGGCCAGCTGAGTGGCGCATTGGTTAAGAGCTGGTTTGGGACGCCAGCTCTGTGCAGCAGGGCCCCAGTTCAGATCCCACATGAGGGCCAGTGACACTGCCCTATACAACTAAGATGGTGAACAACAGCTCAACCTGGAGCTGGGATGTCGTGAGTCACCAGCGACAGTGTAGGCTGCAGCCCCTGCTGCAGTGGGCTGCCGTAAGCTACCGTGTGTGGTAGGCAGCCAATGTGAGCAGCCGGCAGCTGGTGTGAGCTGCCAAAAGCCACCGTGAGTGGCCATCCAGTAGCTGGCGACCGATCTGCCTCACCAGGGAAGAGCGCAATGATAATACCAACATGGGCCAGTGAAGCGACATCCTCCACAACTAGACTGAAGAACAAAAGGACAGTAACTTGTCTGTTTCCCTTCCCCAGATTCCCCAGTGCTGTTCCTCTCCCCCAATTCCCCAATAAAATATTTAAAAAAAAAATCTATAATGCCCAATGTCATTGGGAATAATAACATGGAAATATAAATTGGTGCAACCCTTTAAGAAAAGAATTTAACTATATATATATATATATATATATATATATATATATATATATATATATATCCAAAATATTAACATGCTTATAAATCCAATAACCCCAAATGAGGAATTGGCTAAAGAAATAATTTTAGAAGTTGATAAAGATGTATGTATAAAAGCATGCCTCATTTTATGTTATTTGTAGTAGCAAAAGAGAAAAGAAAAAAGGAAACCTAAAGATTCAATAACAGGGGAAGAGTTAAATACACTGTAGTTCATCCATACCATAGGATGCTATGCTGCCATTAAAAAAAAATCATTTTATCAAGCAATATTGAATGGCTTGAGAAAATGCTCATAATATGATATTAAGTGAAAAAAAGTAGACTATAAAACTCCACCTGTCTTATGCCACCAATTTGGTGTAAATATTGGCCCATCTACCTATCCAAAAATATTTACTGAAAGAAAATCGACCTCAATGGGAACAGTTCAAATCTCTTTCTGAGACTTACTGACTGTGTGACTCTGGTCAATCTTCTTAATTTTTCTGTGCCTCAGGCTTTTCATCTATAAAATGAAAATACAGAAGACTGCCTGACTCGTAAATGGTTGTGAAGATGAAGTTAGATAGTGCATGTACAGTCTTTAGTTCAGCACCTAATAAATGCTAGCTATGGCAGTAATTGTCACCATTCAGAATGCTGACCACCGGAATCTATTATAGTGAATTACATGGAGTTTAATGGATAGCACCCATCATCTCTTTGCAGCAATATGATCAATAAAATTTTCACAAGGGCAGGCAGGCTAAGGACCCAGTGATCAATATGAGTACTTAGGACTGTGTATTTGGGGGCGAAATGGGAAGAAAGAAAGAGGGAGAAAAGGGGGGAAAGGGAGGGAGGGAGGAAGAAGAGGACCAAAGAGAAAGACAAGGAGCGAGGATCAGCAAACCAAAGAAGGGACAGATGTTCCATGTTGACCTCATTTTAAAAAGAGCTATGAAGCTCTGAGGAGTTGCTGCTCAGAACTCCACCCAAGTTTATAACATTCGGAGAACCCTGGAATAGAGGTTGGAAATGGACATGGAAATAGCCAAGCCATTTTTATCAATAATCATCAGGAACTAGTAGGATAAACAAAAGCTTTGGGTTAGAATCCTGGCAATGCAGTTTTATGAGTTCCTTGACTTTGTTCAAGTTAGTTAGCCTCACCTGAAAACAGGATGAATAATTGCCCTTTGTGATGATGGGGTGGGAGCACATTGATAAGCCGCCCACACAGCTCCTGGCACGCAGAATGCCTGGAAGGCTCATTGCAGTTCAGCATCTATCTTGCTCTCTTGCCTGGAGCAAATCCCGGTGCTGGTCAAAAAGCCCCTGGGTGGTTAAAGGCAGCTTTTCAAGGTGCTCCATGGGGAAAGGAGACTGTTGGAGAAGGAGCTCATCATTGGTGCATAGCAAACCCACCCCCTTCCCTCTCCACCCTCCCTCATGTGCAGCCAGCAGGCTGGATGGTTCTGCAAACAGTCTCTGGATCAATTCATTGACCACAAAACGGTGAGACAATGGGACCACCAAGGGGCCTTGCTTTGCCCACTGGGGCGAAGGTCAGCCTCAGATGCATTAAGAAATGGAAGCAATTTTCTTCCCACTGGAGGCTTCTATTAGGCGTGATTGCCTGCATTTAGACCAACCCTAAACTCTCCAGGGCTGGATTAGGGCAGGATCACAAACAAAATCTGGAGAGGAAACTGGCCCTGGAGCTGAAACTAGTGTCAAGGGGCTCTGAACAGTTTTAACTACTTTTTTGGATCTTTGCCTCTGGTTTTTCCTAGCCCACGTCCATCTGTGGCTTCCTCTTCGCAAACGCTATTATGCCCACCGAGCTACCAGCAACACTCTTTCTGCCTCTATGGTTGTGCTATGCACACCCTCTCCTCCATGCTGGCTACTAGTGCCCTGATGAGGTCTTCGATCCCCCTTTAATTCATCCATTGTCCACTTTTATCAGTGGTTTTCTCTAAGCTCAAGGCTGGACCCTAGAGACATAGGGCTGAGCAGTACGCAGCTCTGATCACCAGGAGATTTCAACACATAAAAAAGGGAATGACCACAAGGGAGCAAAAAGAATTTTATTGGAAGAGTAGTATAGACAGTGTTCTGAGCATTTCGTGGGGACAAGATACTCTGTGAGCTTTGGAGCTCGGGAGAGCCTTCCTGATGGTGGCTCTTGCATGATGTGAAGGCTTTTGATAGGTTTGGAGGGAGAGAGATGTGGGGACAAGGCTCCTTTAATACTTTCAAAAAGCTGCTTGGAAATCACCTCCTCCCCCCACCAAAGACAGATTAACCACCAGCTTCTCCATCCATTACAAGTTTCCACTGCTACCTGTGGCCACTGTGCTGTAAGGATGTTAGTACGTTGTCTCTAGATTCTGACTTTCTTGCCAGTGGGGATTTTGTCTGATTCTTTATTAATGCTGAATTCCTGGCACTTAAGAGGTATTCAGTAAGTACTGGTCGAGCTGAACTTGAATGAGCTTATTCGTGGATGTCGGGTGGGGCGGAACAGAGACGATGAAGTGTCCATCCGCATGCTGTGGCATTTATCTAGTTCCATATGAACCCACTTTTGGTCTCTGTGCACTGACCCCTGGCCGTTTCCTGGGCAGCCTTGCTTTACATTCTATCTGTTGGAATCAATGCCTCTCCTCCCTTCCCAGGTAGAGCCTCTGTATGAACTGGTGACAGCCACAGACTTTGCCTTCTCCAGCACGGTGAAGCAGAACATGAAGCGGGCCCTGGAGGAGTTCCAGAAAGAAGCCAGCTCCTGCCACTGCGCTCCGTGCAGTGGGAATGGAGTCCCTGTCCTGAAAGGTACCGTGTCCAGGCAGCTGGTGTTCCTTGTGGGGCCAGAAGACATTATCAAAACCACACGCCCTTCAGAGCATCTCAAGAAGAGTTTCTAGGCCAATCCCTAGTCCTCTGCTTCAGGTCCCGGGGTCTGTCATGAAGCTCTCTTTATTGTCTCAGGGGAGAAAAAGAGCCCTTTGGCCATTCGGAGCCTCTAAAACCTGAGCTTCTTCACCCTGACTGGGCATTGGGACTATGGGCATACCTTGGCGACATTGCATGTTCAGCTCCAGGCCACCCAAAAAAGCGGGTCGTAATCTTTTTGCTGGTGGAGGGTCTTGCCTCCCATTTGTAACACAACACCTGTGAACGGCAGTCATGCAAAAAACAATAAAACAAGATAGGCCTGTACTTGAGACTTTCAGAATTGCTGATGCCCGGGCCCCAACCTGGATCATGATGTGAGAGTCTGGAGAAGGGCCCCTCATCGGGATGGTGAAACCCTCTCCAGGAAGTTCTAACCTGCAGCCTGGGTGCGACTCACATTGCTACAGTCCTCGTCTCTCCTGGACTGGACCCAGGGGACCCCTGCACTCAGCTCATGGCCAAGTGCACAGTGTTCCTCAAAGGCAGCAGATCCCAGCCCAGGCTGCATGTGAGAATTGCCCAGGGAGCTTTTCACAAACAACAGAGCCCTGGGCCTCAGCCCAAAGCAATTAAAGCGAATCACTGGGATTGGCCTTTGAGAAAGCCTACCAGATGAGTCCATGTTAGGAGAGGGCTGAGAAGCTGTTCTACAGCTGAATTCACTGGCAGACAAGATACAGGATTTCACTGTGCTTATAGATGAGTGGGAGAACTAGACTTGACCAAAGGGTTACATTGAAATGTACCAACTGTTAGTACCAGTGTCCGTTAGTCTGACTATCTCCCACGGAGTCAGAATGTAGGCAACTAGGACATGCCGCTATGGCTGTCCGGATACTGAGGTTCCAGCCACAGGGACACAGTGACAGCAGCATTGAACTGAAAACAGGAGCAGGCTGAGACTGTGGGGTCTGCAACAAGGAGTGGGGATGGACTTGGGGAATCTCTTCTGGTCAAAGAAGGGCCCTGGGCTGAGCAGAGGAAACCGCTGTGCAGGTGCTGACCAGTACGCGGTGGGAAGGATAGGGGACTGGGGAGAAAAGGCAAGCACGGGCCATTAGAACTTGATTCCTCACTTCAAGGATCCCCTTGGGGTCACTATAGTGGGCAGGGGAAACTTGGAAAAGGCAGGGCCTGGAATCTTATGCAAAAAGATTAACGAAAATAACAATAATAAAAGAGCTAGCAAAACTCTGAGGAAGCGTCTAGTCCAGCCTGATGTGAAAACAGGGCATCTGTAGCAATTGGTGACAGCGCATCCCAGCCCAGGGAGCCAGTTGGAGTTGGCAGAACAAACCACAGGGCTGGAGCAAGCTCAACAGAGGACGTACAGAGAAGACCTGTTCTCAGGGGGAAAGATCCCAGCTGCCCAGCTGAGATTGAGGTGTGTGTGTGCGTAGCTCATTGGACAGGATGGAGATGAGCAAAGCAGACATAGCGAGAACCTAAGGCTGGGAAGTCCTGCCATCAGGACAAGGGCATGTAAGTGAGGGACAGTTCGGCAGAAAGCAGACCAGCTCACCAGCTCTAGGTTTTGATCCAGGTCGCTGAAGTCCCCTTGCCTTGTGTGAAGTTTAGACCTAGAAACTGGGACCCACCTGAGGTTTTCCCTCGCCAAGGAGAATATAAAGCCAGGGCCTGGGATGCTCACAGGGCCTGACTTATGAAGGACAATCCTGTGAAGAGATTCTGTGTGATCAGATGAAAGAAGCTCTAGGGTAACCTGTTACAGATGAACATAAGGAATATCTTCCAAAATGTCAGAACAGGCCCAAGGTAGGATACGACATCTAAGGGTAGTGAGTTCCCCGTCACTAGAGGTGTTCAAGCAGAGGTTAGACAATTATCAGTGGTGAAAATGAGCATCAGTGACCATTGGCCTCACCACTAACGTAGCTTCCGACTCAGACATCAAAATTCTGCTAGTGAGTAACAACTCCATATAATTCTTCACGCTGGCAACAAACACCCTCTTTTATGAGCAAAGGACCCTCAAGAAAGAAGTAGGTATTCTTGGCACTGAACCTCCTTATTTCAAACCATTCAAATAAATGTTTGACCTCTTTTAACCTAACGGAAAAGCAGCAATGTGGAGGGCTGAACTCCAGGAGTTCTTTGCTTCCCGTGGTATAGTTCACATTCTCTCTGCATTGTTCTTTTCAGAATCGCATTGTGACTGCATCTGTCCTAATGGATTCCGAGGCCAAGCCTGTGAGATCACCTTTCGGAAAAGTAAGGAGGCTTTGGGTGTGGGTGGGGAAAGGCAACTTGAGAGAAGTCCGGAGGATAATTTGGAAGAGCAAAAGAAAGGTGGGGGTGTTGGGTAGGGAGCTGGACACTATAAAACTTGAGAACCGTCCTGGCTCTGGGTTGTATATTTCATTAGTTGCACGTGAGAGTGCTTCATGCTACAGGACTACGCACGCCTTGCATTTGCAAGTCACCTCTTCGGATCATTCTGGTATGCTTACCTTTTTTTAATGTAGTGAACTCCAATTCAGCTCTCAAAATCGAGTGCAGATGCCCCTTGTTCTAGAAAAAGTCTTCTAACACCACTCCCCCCCGCAAGTAAAATTAGTTATTTCCTCTTTGGAGCTCCTGTAGGACTTTGAACATATACTTATTACAGCTCTTAGCACATTATATGTTGGGTTCTGTGTATCTATTTCCCCTACATCTGTGAGTCGGAATCATGTTCCATTTATCTCTGTGTCACACATGTCCCAGCACAGCTACTGTTCAGTGTTAAAATAACAAATGAAAGAACAAACAATCAATAAGACCCCTTCCATGCCTCAAATTCTTTGGCCTGTTTATTATCTAAGAGTCCTCAACCCCCCACCTCCCCCTTTCCTTTAGTTTCCTTTCAGTTTTTGCTGATACCATTAAAAAAAGAAATTGGCACATCCAATAGAAACAATGAACAGTGATTAAGCACTTCAACTGTGTTCCAGGCACCTTGCTGAGGGCTTGGACTCAGTGGGGTTAAAATTCCATCTCTATCATTTAATAACTGTGACCTTGAGCAGCTTACTTCACCCTCTGTGCCTCAATTTCCTCATCTGTAAAATGGAGATGATGATATTAGCTATCTCATAGAGTTGTCTTGAGTCTCTCACGAGACATGTAAAGTGCTTAGACTGACGCCTAGTACATTATAAGAGCAAAATAAATATTTGTTAATTTGTTTTAGAGCTAAATAATGTTGCATATACACATCCTTTTGTGTTTTACGTATATTAATTTTCCATGTATTTTACGTTTTGCATTTTCTGTATATTCAATTTTACATGTATGAAATTTGTATTTTACATATATGTAATCCTTTAATTTTTACAACAACTTCATGAAGTAGGTACTATCAGTGTCCCCATTTTAAAGATGAAGAAACTGAGTTTAATGGGGCATGCACGAACTTGCCCAGTGGTCACACACTTAGGGAGCATTGGAACCCAGGTTCACATTCAGTGGGTCTGACTGGACAGCCTTTGCCCTTGACTCCCGCCTTCACTCTTCCCCTCCCCAGCGAGACGCTCAGGGTTCTCTGCACTCCCTCTCCTCCTGCATCTCAACCAGGCCCCACATGGTGACCTGCCAGGGAGTGTGCCGTCAATCACACAATCATGGGATTTCTGCTGGTTAGAGGAACCTTGGAAAACTTCCACTCCAGCCTTCTCATTTTACAAATGGAGAGGCCCAGAGATATTAAGCAGTGTACCCAGAGCTGCACTGTGAGTTAGAGGCTCAGCCAGATACATGATATACCATGGTGGATAGAATTGATTATTGGCCAATCTCATCAATGACCAAAAAATCCCAAACAGAAAGGCAAATGTCAGGGAAGAGAGAGTACAGTGTTATTCCCTCATTCAAAACACACAACAATCGCAGTAGATAACATAGTTCCTATTTTATACATTGAGAATTAAGGTACCCAGCATCCTATATCAGAGAAGTGTCTAAGCTGAAAACCATTCATTCAACAAATATTTATTATAGGGCCTCCTTTGTGTCAGTTTAGGTGCCGGGGTTCAATGGTGAGCAAATCAGATATAGTTCCTGTCTTCATGGAGATTTATCTTTAGAAAGAAAAACCAACATCATTTGAATTGTCCCAGAAATACATTTAAAGTTTTAATTGTAACGAATATAGAATGCTCTGAGAGCTTCAAATACGAAGCATTGATAGGGAGTTAGGCAACAGGGAAGGTTTCTTGTCGAAATAACGCTTGAACTGAGATCCGAAGGGTGAATAGGACTGACTAGATGAACAGAGGAGGGAAGAGTATACTGGGCAAGGAGAACAGCATGTGCAAGGGCCCTGTGGTAGAAGGGAGCATGGTGAGCACAATGGCCTGAAAGAAGGACAGTTGACTGGATGGGGAAGATCAGAGATTCAGACTCCCAAAGCCTTTTAGATTGTACACCCCACCCACCTGTAGGGCCCCACAGTGTAATAGGCCTAATTAATGTTCCTTGACCCTCTTTCTTATAGATGTCCCCATTGATGGGATGTGGAATTGCTGGTCAAACTGGTCTCCGTGTTCTGGAGGACAGAAAACAAGACAAAGGCAGTGCAACAATCCACCTCCTCAAAATGGGGGCAGGTCCTGCTCGGGCCCTGCTTCAGAAACACTTAACTGTTAACCAGGAGGGAGAGCTTCTAGCAGATGACACCATCTGGGGCCAGCCCAAGGGTGGAGGGCAGTGCCATTCAGGGTGTTTAAAATAAAAATGTTATTTGTAAAATGCACATTGATTGGAACAAGCGGTGAGTTAAACAATCATTATAGGTTCCTGTAGGGCTTAAGGATCTTGGTAATCCTCACTTTGCTCATCTCTACAGCTTTATTTCACTCACATTTACTACCAACCAGGAACTGTGTTGGGAGTTATTTACACTGAAGTCCTACTGTCTAGCAGTGACTAGCTCATAGTAGGAGCCCAGTAATGAATCAATAAATAGATATTAATTTGCTCCTCCCTTGAGAGGTATATGCTCTTATTCAATGACAATGGCAGTTAATATTTATTGAATGATTACTATGTGCTAGCCACAGTACTCAGTGTGTTAATTCATTCCACCTTCATGACAACCTTGTAAGGTGGACGCCACATATTAGCCTTATTAAACAGTTGGCAGAACTGAGGCTTAGAACAGTTAAGTGACTCGTCCAGGGTTACACAGTTAGGAGTGAGCAGAGCTAGGCTGCACATCTGGGCTCTCAGGCTCCAGGGTATTATTTTTTTTAATAATTAAGATGCTCTCTTCCTCTCAATAGATGGGCATTTGATTAATAAAGAATTATTTTTTTTAAGATTTTATTGGGGAAATGGGGGAGGGGAACAGCATTGGGGAATTGGGGAAGGGGAACAGACAATTTGCTGTTCTTCAGTCTAGTTGTGGAGGACGTCGCTTCACTGGCCCATGTTGGTATTATGACCATTGTGCTCTTCCCAGCTGAGGCAGTTGGTCGCTGGCCATTGGACAGCGGCTCATGGTAGCTCACAGCAGCCCACTGCAGCCCCACTGCAGCCTACGTGGTCTCCGGGCACTCACAGCAGCCCAGCTCCAGGTTGAGCAGTTGTTCACCATCTTAGCAGTAGAGGGCACAGCATCATTGGCCCATGTGGGAACCGAACCAGCAGTCCTGCTGCTCAGAGCTCGTGCTCCCAAGCCAACTCTTAACCACCAAGCCACTCGGCTGGTCCCAAAAAAAGAATTTTTAATGAAGCAAAACATAGGAGAAAGTGCCGTGTGTGTGTGTGTGTGTGTGTGTGTCTGTGTGTGTGTCTGTGTGTGTGTCTGTGTGTGTGTGACAGATTTTCACCCATGCATCCTGAGGGGAGTGGATCTGTGTTTCTCAGCTCCTTTTGATGGTGAGCACAGGAAGCATGTGGTTGTGTATGTCACAAACAGGAGTTCTGGGGTAGAGCTGAATTGTCATGACATGAATGGGTACCCAGAGAAGATCCTGAATTGGAGATAAGAGCCAGGGAAACTGATCACTGAATGAGAGACAGTTAAACAAGAAAGATAAATACATACATACATACATACATACATACATACATATATATGTGGTTGTGGTGGCTGGGAGAGGAAACATGTCGACTGGCCAAAATAACTCTCCAGGTAATTCACCAAACAGGGCTTTTTTTTGGGAAAAAAAAAAAAAAAAAAAAACCACTACTGCAGTGTGGGAACGCACACCTCCAGCCCAGGCTCCAACCAGCCACACACATGCAAAAGAAAAGAGAACCCCCACTTTCCCAAGATGACCTCTATATAGATGGATTCCGCCCCTGGAAGTTACCACAAAGTTTTAACAGGAAGTCAGGACTAGAGAGTTAACAAGGGGCCCAGCTCTGACCATATTCCTCCTAACTCTATGGTTAGTCATCTTAAGATGTCAATTCACTTTTATCACATGTCAAGGAGAAGTTCAAGTTAGTGGCTGTGGGGTGCTGTTCAATGAGAAGCTTCCCCTCCCTCTGTACATTCTACCTTGCTCACATTTGCTTTTGTGCAAATCCCGTTTGGGAGAGGGAGGTACTTGACGAGGAGACTAAGAAGGCAGTTGATCTTCAGGTTACTAAAAACCAAAATGTTTTTATTATTTAGATTGAGTCAAGTGATCACTTAATCTTTATTGCTCTCATTTCATTCTATCGTATTAAAAACATCTTTAATATTTTGTTTGCTCTCGGGCACTTCCTGTCTGATTATAGAGCTTTATGTGAATTTATTGAAATCAAATTGGTGGGTAAAAAAACCAGTTGATGAAAGGCGAATTGGTTCATCCTGTTTTCAACCAATTTGTTCTTGGCCACATCATTTGCTTTGAATTTGCTACTGGGCTCAGTGCTGGGGCCTAAGACCTAACATGTCCATGCCACCAAAGCATGGGGCACTGCCACCCACCAGTTTGACCCAACCAGCTATCCGAAATTGTCAATAGAACAACCACCGGCAGGAGCTGACATTTTACTGCTCAGGGTTTGTTGCAGCAAGCATGCTAATGCTGTCTGCCTGCCTGCATCCTGGTGTCCCTAGCAATTGAGCTGATGGGTCTGGGCCTTTTTTTTGGCTTAATATTATTTCTTTGCTGTCTGCTGTTATTTCAACAGGCTAATCCAATAATGGTTTATCTCTTTCATTATACCGAGGCCGAATAATTTTCTTGAGTTATAATCTATCTTCTTTTAAGATTCCCCAGAGATGGGGAAGAGCACTCCTGTCTTTGGTTGATGGGAGGCTCCCATGAAGCCGACACCAGCACGTCGAAGCCAGCGCCGCCAAATTAAATTCTAAATCTCAATCACAGCCACCGTTTCTAATGGGAAATTTGAGTTGATTATGGAGATGACAGCCCAGGTTCACGTTTATTGCATTTAGCAGAAATTGTTTATCCTATTAAATATGGTCTTGAAGGGGAGACAATTGAATTGCGGAGCACCGGTGAATACCCAGGTGACGCCACAGCACTGCTAAACTGTGTAATAATTATATTCTTATTTGTGGGCTGAACGTCCCCACGTGGCTCTTTTTGCAAACAAATGCATTTAGGAGGAGGCGGAAACATAATGTAAGAATTAAACAAAATAAATGCAAACGGTGCTTTTGGAAAACCTTGGCAACTGTACCTTGAACCAGTGTACACGTGTAGGAGCTGCAGTTTCCATGGGGCATTGTCTAGGCAGCGGTTTGGCAGTGGTCCTGGAAGCTTGAACGTAGCACAGGATACCTGGATGTGGGAGAGTTTTGCATCCAAGAACACAAATCTCTGAAATGCTGTGAGCTCTGCCACGTACTTGATGTGGGGGTGTGGGGATGGGGGGTCCTGTGTCTGTGCTTCCTCCCTGTATGACCTTGGGCTAATAACATAACTTCTGTGGGAATAATAATTATTATTATAATCGCTGCCAATTCCAGGGTGCTTCTTAGTTTATGACGTCTTTTAGCCTACATTATCTCATTTTATCTGAATTTGATGGGGTAGACATTAATACAATCATCAGGTGACGTGTAAAGAAAGCTTCAAAGGGAAACCTGATCCTTATAATGAATGAGCTAACTATGAAAATCAAGGTGGGACTGAGAGGGAGGCCAGAAGAAAGCATCCAGAGGGAAGTGCCATCTTTGTTTGTAAGCAGAGAACTCCGGCCTGCTCCCAGACACTTACAAAAAAGTCCCAGGGAGAGAGTGTGCCTGGAGCAGAAAGCCCTTGGGACACCAGCCAGGTCTCCCTGGGGACCGTCATGATTAGCATCTTGATGGAGAAATATTTGGTTTTACAGACTGAAGATGCCCATAATGACAGTATGTCTATTTGTCAATGTTTCCAGACTTTGCAGACATTGTATTATCATTTACTCATTCATCACCTCCTATTCCTTCTCAAATATAACATCCATGGAAATGGGGAGTGCCTGCCTGCTGCACTCATATGTCTCTCGTAGCCAGTACAGTGCCTGGCACAATCAGGCAATCATAACTAATTGTTGCACGAATTCATGAACTGTAGAAAAGGGATGTGAGTGGGGCCAAGGGCAAAACCTTCCCAGGCCAGTGAGAATCTTCATTGAATTGGTTGCACATGATGGTGGCATCATGAAGTTTGGGGTACAGAACCCTGAGATAGTGGCAATGCACACAGCAGTGGCCAGGGGAGGCACCTTCAGCCAGCTTCATGGGTCACATTGCCAACAAAGAGTCAAATGAAAGAGGCAGAAAAGTAGCTGATATCAGGTAGGGACTGACCATACTTGTTTAGAGGTGTGGGTGACTTCCTGGAGACCCCCAGAAATCTTCTGGGAAGCAGAAAAGTCTGCAATCATGGGTGGGGTAACCCTGAGAAGCACATTTACATGTTGATGAAGAAACCAAGGCTCAACAGGACTGAAAGCCTTTCCCAGTATGTGGCAGAGGCAGGAAATGAACGAGTCATTTAAAAATCCTCGTCCAACATTCTGCCTCCGCCTCATTTTCTCCTCATAGATTTGTTGTAAACCTGGAAATGAGCACACAAACCCTAACGGCGACGCATTGCAATGGTACACTATAAGTCTTTGAGATTCCCTGTTTACCAAAGGCTGTCATGAAATCGGAGTTTTCTATATGGTGTGTTCTTCTTTGAGTTGTCTTTCTTAAATGTTTGGCCAGATTCCAGTACTGAAGTACTCAGGAACTCAGAGGTGGATTTCCTGAGATGCCTGGTGGGGACGCCTCTTAGGCAGAACTGGAAACACAGATGGAGACCAAGTAGCAAAGTGCTTAGAAGTGTGTGCTCAGGTGCCTTATGGCCTGCATGTGTGACGTGGCCTGGCTCTGTGACTTACTAGCTTTGTGGTCTTACACTAGTTACGTACCCATCTGTGCCTCTGTTTCTTCGTCTGTAATTTGGTGGGGCGGTGACCGTAGCAAGCTCCTAGGGTTCTGTGAGCATTATGTGGACTACTATACGCAAGGGAGCACCTAGAACAAAGTCAGCCCTCTATAGTTAGCCAGATCATGGACATCACTGTTTCCGGGGATTCTCAAAACAGCAATAAGAACTATGGTTTGTTTGTCTTTCTAAAGTCATTTAAAACTGCTTTAAAGACATTTGGGTGTGAAACCCACACAACGCAGGAGAACAAGAAAGGCTTAAAAGAGCTTGGCATCTGGGAGATGTCTTAATAAAGGACCTGGAGAGCTTTTATATCCCAAGCTCTGAGTTATTAAGGGAAAATGTAACAGCATAATAACTAATATTTGCAGAGGGCATTGCTAGTTACAAAGAACTTGCACATACCTAATCCAGCTTAATCCTCTCGATGCCTGCAAGAGGACAGGATTTATTATCTGCCTCTGACAGGTGACGGGACAGAGCCTTGGAAAGACTAAGTGATTGGCTCAAGACCACACAGCTGGAGAGCGCAGGATGGCCTCGGTCCGAGGGCAGCTGCCAAACAGTGCCCCCCACCTTCCCCCCGCAGCACAAGCAGATCCAGCTTCAGTGCCTGCCTACCCGCCTGCCCACTTGCATAGAAGAGACAGAGAAAGGTCTCTGGTCTGGCATCTGGTAGCAGAGAGGCTTGTAGGGACAGAGAGGCTTGTAGAGAGCCATTTAGAGGGCTTTGGGGAAGAGAGGGGTGTAAGACTCAATGCCACCACTTCCTAGCTAAGTGACCTTGACACATCACTTATCCTCCCTGTGCCTCAGTTTCCTCATCAGAAGATGGGGCCAATATCCCCAATGGCACAAGCGTAAGGATTGAATGACGTGATATATGCAAAGAGACTACTATCATCACCCCAAAGTGCCTGGCCCATGGTAGATGCTCAACTGTCTTCCCATTCCTGGGTGCTGAACAAACCAGCCCTGCCTAACATGTGCTATTTTTTTTTTTTACCCTGCCTAGCCTCTGTCTCTTTTTGAGCAGGTAGACTGCATTTTACAGAAAAGAAAAGGAGAAGAGGGATTGTGTTTGCAGTGGGGAATTCATGGAGGGGTTGTCAAAGGGAGTCAAGTGGCTGGTCTGCCATCACCTTTGTGCAGGAGGCTTCTCCAGAGCTGGGGCAGTCCCATTATCAGTGGCGGCATCCACTACTTATCTCATGTCTACACCTTGCGACCCCAGGTGTTCCTTCATCCATCATTGACCATTGTCTGGTAGCCACTCCTCTGTCCCCCACCACCTCCTGCCAGGCGGGCCTCCTGGTTAATAAGCCAGTTTGTTCCTTTCCTGAAAACTATCTGATTCTGGCCCCTTTTATCCCAAACGCCATCCATCCATCAACGGCTTGCTCCACATATTTGGTTAGGAAAATGGGAATGGGGGAGGGAGACAAATGATAGATAAAACTTCTTAACTGCTATCTCTAAAGAAATAGAATGGATAAATAGATCCGTCAGACATGTATCGTGCCACTGGACAGCAAAGTCCATTTGTTAAAAATAGGTTAGGACGGGAGGATTTATCTCACATTTTAAGCTGTTAATATAGAAGAAAAACATATTTTCCTTTATCTCTCCCAGGGTAGGGGGTAAACCCCAAGGTGTGACTGCAGAATTTGTAACTTGATTTGATGGACTTCTTCACCAAGGTGGAAAGGCGGACTCTCTCTTAAATGGGTGCAGACTATAGGAATGGCATAGGCTCTCCTCTGATGTACCAGGAAGGTGGCAGGATCCAGGAATCCTGGGAAAACGTCTTCCATAGACTTCTCTCTCACAAATTCCTACATGCTACATGCAAAGCCTATTTCAGAGCCTCTCTTCTAGCACAGAGGGACCAGAGAGAGAACAGCATCTAACGGACTTTTACTGGGAAGCTCCTATGTGCCAAGCACTACACTAGGTACTGGGGCTCTAAAGGTAAATATCAGTCCCCAAGACTGAGAGAATTTGGCATGTGTGAGGAATAGCACAAAGGCTTGAATGGTTGGAGCAGCATGACTGAGGGAAAAGTGAATGGAAGCAAGCAAGTCAGAGAAAGAGAGAGCCCAGGGCTAGTCATTATATAGGCCTTTGTATATCATGTTCGGGGCAATAGAGTTTTTAGTACAGTTGGTTCATAGAGTGAAAAGGGAGGTAAAGATGGAGTGGTAAATTGTGTCAGATCAGAGAGAACCCTGTGAATCCAGTTGAAAATGCTTGGGCTTTATACCAGTGGTTGTGGGATGTCGAACCACAGGAGCACCAGACGTAAGCAGGGGAATGACTGGAAAGCGGCCATCTGTGGAAATCTCCCCAGAACCAAGGACCTGCTGCCCTTGGGAAAGGCCCAGTGACCAAACCTGAGGTCCTCACTGAGCTGTCCCCAGCCTGAGAATGGCCAGGGCTCATCATACCCAGAAGCTCAGCAGTAACCCCTCTGTGACTTTGCACATGCGATTTCCTCTGTATTATTTTGCCCCTCTTTCAGCATTCTTTGTTTGTCTAACCCCTGCTCATTTCCTCTTGTCCGCTGGCCACCCTCTCCTTCAGGCTGTCTTTCCTGCTCCTATAGCCCCTGGGTGTCCTGCTGGTAGAGAACCTACTGCTGTTGTTCCCAAGCTTCTCCAAGACCAAGCAGTCTTCCAGGACCAAGACTCTTCCTGACTCATTTCTGTACCTCCAGCACCCAGCACGGGACCTGGCACAAGAGCTCACCAGAATGATTCCCTGAGTGAAGGGGGAGCAGCCTCCATTGTCCCCTTTGCTAATCCATATCCCAGCCCCTTCCTTTCATGGCTCCTGACGGCTTCGCTCTGCCATCTCTCATTTCTGCAACGTGGTTTTTGAAGCCTTCCCTCCCTCTCTGTCCATTTTCTTCACCCTAAAGGCATATCGCTCAGCAGAGATTCACTGAGTGCTGAACTCTTTAGATCTTCCTCTGTCTTGAAGAAAAAAAGGAAAAAACATCTCCTTATTGCTTTTCATTCTGTCATTAATTTACTTTTCAAAAGACGCCTTGTCAAGCTGCAGATTATATCTTTAAACCATGTTTTTACATCCACTACCTATAAAACCTTAGATTATAGATCTCCTGAAAGGACCTGAGGGAGAATCCATTTGACAAGCTTTATGCCTTTTGCTTGGTGAGAGCTAGGCATTCTTTAACAGGGAAAGGTGCAGATCCGGTGAAGGGTTGCTGCTTCTGAAACTGCCGCTGCTGATGATTTTAATTTCTAAAGCTGCTGTGGATGCAGCATCCTCAGAGGAGGGGGACAGATGCTGGCCTTGCTTCTCTGGCTCAGATGACAGGAAGATGGCTTTCTCAGCGGGTGGTTTGGGCTCACAGGTGATACAGGCAATTGCTTAATCTCAACGTTCTCGTCTATTGCCTAGATTACTACAATTACTTCCTAAGGGGCTTCCTTACCTCTGGCTTCTTCCTTCTTCCCTGCATCCCCACACCATCCTACAAGTCCCTCCACTGCAGGGACAGCAGGGAGCAAAGGCGGGGAAGCGTGTGCCTGATGTACAGCATTCAAGCCCTGGCTGGCCCATGAGGCTCAGCCTCTCCCAGACTTGGTTTCCTTAGCTATAAAAGGGGACTCATGAAACAACTCTTAAGAGGTCCTTGATAAGACTAGCTAAAATAACACAGATAAACCTTACAAGGGCTGCCCTTTTGTTTTGTTGCATACCTCATTCCCCTGTACATAGAATGACTCCTCAGCTTTCAAAGGTTCTCAACCTTGGCTGCATTGGAATTGTCTGGGGAGCTTTTAAAACTAATGATGTCTGGCTCCCACCTCCAAAGCTTCAGATTTAATTGATCTGGGGTGCAGTCTCCAGACAGCACGGTTTTTTAAATTCCCCAGGTGATTCTAATGTGCCACCAAGATTGAGAACTACCACTCTTAGATCAAGTTTGAATGTCCTCTATAGAATGCACACTTGGCCTGGTCCATCTGGTCCCCCATCACTTTGTAGTATGTAACTACCACTCCCCAGTAAATAATGAATTGAAATTAATCATTAATTTAAATTAAAGAGTAAAAAGTAAATTAACAACAGGATGAGAAGCAAGAAGGGAGTCCTCTTTTTTCTTCTTTCAGATAGATCTAAAGAATTCAAAAATAAACTTTTAAACCATGTTTTAATTAACAATAGTAACAATAATAGTAAGGGTGATGCTAATAATTTTGTATGTGACATACATTGTGCTAAGTGTTTTATATAACTTATTTTGTTTACACTCACCATCTCACCTCTCCCCATTCCCAACACAAACAGCTACGCACACACCCAATATTCTTTCTTCTAACTTTGTCACATGATGAATTTCCATCTTAAAATTCTCCTTCCTCTTTGCCTAGTTCAAAAATCCTTCAAGGTCTAGGTCAAGCCCCATTCCATATATAAAATATACACAAGGAAAGACTACGCTCTCTCCCACCTGACCTCCCTTGACAATTATTTTATGTGCCACATATATTGGCATTAATTTAGCAGTTAATTTCCTGTGTCCCTAAAACCCCTTCTAATTGTATCATGTCTATATCAACCTTATTACCCTAAAAAGATTGAGGATTCTGGGAGGATCGGGAGCACCCATATATATGTGTCAGTCAACGGATGTTTCTTATACCGACTGGGAATGCAAATTCTACCTTTAAAGAGCTAACAATCTATAGGAGAAACTTATAGGCAAACAGAAAAGTCAGTGCAATATAACATGTTCTCTCTTTGAGGCATCACTGGAGTGCTCTGGAGATACTGAGGCAGGCTGGTGTGACTGGCTCTCCCTCAGGTGCTCTGATCATCGGTTGGCCCCCCTAATCCATGCTCCTCTCTGGGAGGCTGACCAATATGGACCCCATCTTTGAACTATCTCTTGAGTTCAATCCCTCACTTCATCCACAGAGGCTTTGTGGGTCCCTCCCAACTCAAGGCACATCCCTGGCATCTGGGGACACAGTGCTGAACCAAACAAAACCGATCCTTGCCTTCAAGATGGGGACACAGGTCATCAATAGTCACTGGAGCTATGGGAGCCAATATACATTTACTAACTGTGAAAAGCACAATTAAGGAAAAGAGTAGTGTGCTGTGAGAAAATAATTGGTAGAAATGTGATATCTGTAGTAAGAACTTAAGCAAACGAGAGATTAACGGAAGGAATACAAGAAAATATTGAGTCCACATGAAGAAGCATTGAAGGAACTCAAGTTAATCTTTAATTTTTTCTCATTATTTCAGTGCATATGCTTATCCTGTCAACTAATAATCATTCTATAAATGAACAAATATAATTATCAAAGAACTGAGATAATTTTCATCATGCTTTGTTATATTGGCCATTGATTGTTTCAAGAGTGTCTGCCTTGAACCTCTAACCCTTAATATCCTATAAGTTCCTCTAAGATATGGATTGAGATTTCTCCTATTGCTTTTGTTGGATGATCCAAAGTGCTGTGAGCAGGACCGAGATTCTAGTTAACACTCAACACCCAGTTGCTGAGTGACAGAGTTTTGCAGGTAATAGAACAGTTGGTTATAGATGATGCAGCCTGGTCTTAGGCCTGGTAGCTGTCAGGACAAAGAAAAAGTCCATGTCGATTGGCATTTTTTCTCAGCTGCAAGAAGTCTTTATCCAGTGTTCCAGACAGGGCTGCATCTGTCCCGGTGTGTGCCCAGAGGCCCTCAGCAAGCCCGAGTCTGCACGTTCCACCCTGGACACGAGGCGCCTCCATTCTCGGGTGAAGGATTATTGCACTCTCTCCTCCTTTCCTGAGTGCCCGCTGTGCAAGCAGACCAGGGGCTCCAGCAGCTCCAGCTACCATCGACCTTGGCTCCTGCACAGATAATTTCCCAGGGGAGGAGGAGGTTAGCATACAAGAAGCAGCTGGGACAGTGTGGAGGGAGGGCCATCCATTGCCCTGGAGTGGTGTGCGATCCCTCTTTGGGGAAATGCCTCGGTGTAGCCAACCAAGACCTCTGTGTTTGCCGCCTCACACTTAATGTGAAACTAGAGATGGAGTGAGAAGAGGCCCCTGGGAACCCATTTCATGAAATTGGAGTCTGCAGTTCCATGGAAGATGGATAGCAGAGTAAGGCAGGGCAGCTTACTCCTCTGGAAGAATGACACGGAGCTGCTGGAGGGTGTGAGGAGCAGGGAGCACCGACAGAGGCCAGCCAGATGCCCCTGTGCAGAGGGATTTTGGACGATGGCTTGCAAATCAAACCCCCTTAGACTCTGACAGTGGGGCCAAGGTGGGTGACAAATTATCTGCCCAGAGCATCAGAATGCGTGCACACTGACCATGTGTCTCTGGAAATCCAGCTCATACTATCTCCCTAGCCCGGAGCTGCATCCTAATGGCTCTGTGCCTTTGGGCAAGTTCATCTCCTCTCTCAGTCGGAATTTGCACCTCTGAAAAATGAGAAAGATGGACTAATCCAGTGGGGTTTCGCCATCATTATTTTTTTCATTACTGGCTTTTTTTTTTCTTAAATAAAATCTTACATGGGCTCTGACATGTAAGTCAGATGAAAGTGGAGCTGTTCTATTTGAAGATGGGGTGTCTATCTGCTCCCCTGGGGAAGCCTCTAAGGCCCCAAGTTTCCTCAGATTCCAGTGTGAATATCATTGGATTGGATTATGCTCAAGTCCCTTCTAGCTCTGTAATTATACTCCCTGGTGGGACAGCCACAGCAGGGTCCTCTGGTCTGTTTCTCCCACCTCTGTGATTCAGTCCCCACAGGCAAAGGTGTGCTGGGAAAATCCTTGGGGACCTGCATCAAGGGGCCTCCCTGCTGGCTGACTCCCTAGCCTTAGATTTTCTCGCCAGATGGATCTGTGTTAGGCTGGAAGTCCAGTCTGAGCCTCAGGGCCACCTGATGTCCACACCCTGCTTGAAGCAGCGTTGATGGAACACCATGAGCTGCCTGCAACTGACTGAATATAATCATGCAGGAGGAATGGGCCTGTGCGGAGGAGGACACAGCCCTCTGTGCCCTGCCACCACCCCCAGATCGCTGGCATCATGTGCCCGTTCAGTGACCATCGTGTGTACATATAACTGAGCATGTCCCAGCACTGAGCCCCACATTGCACTACTGAAAAGGTGTGGCTACATAATTCATACCCCCTGTTCGTCTGTCTCTATGCTGTACGGACAGGAATCCAAGTAAGTCACTGGTTCTCATGCTGTAACTATAATTACCCAGGCAGGTCTCATGGCTGTCCCTTTAAGCCAGGTCAGGCTGATAACTGTGAACTGGGACAGCCCCTCATTACCCCGCATTTCCTGACTCTTAGGATGTGAATCAGTAGAATTTAACAGTTAAGAGCTTGGGTTTTAGCATCTAGCCTCCTGGATTGAAATCCTGACTCTGATACCCCCCAGCTAGAGCAAGTTATCTCACCTTCCTTCTGCCCCAGTTTCCTCATCTGTAAAACGGGGTTAATAATGCTATGGATCTCATAACATTTTGAAGGAAATAAATAAGTTCATGCACATGAAGTGTTGTGATAGTGCCTGGCACAGAATAAGGGTTAGTTATTCCTTCTGTTCATTGACCTGTGTTCCCTCTGGGAAAGCTGCCTGGTCAGTGGGGCAAACGGGGGCTGACACCCAATCCACACTCCGCTTGAAAGTTCAAGAAACCCCTGGGGTCTGGAGTTAGACAGTATAAGCCCCATGCGGTTTTCTTTGTTTCTTCCAATTTCTCTACCTATCAGGTAAGTACCTTATTCCAATTCACATGAGGAAACTCTCCCAAGTTTGGTCCTGGTAATTGGTGTGCTTGGTTTTTTTTCCTCTGCATCCTCCTTCTTAAGGACTCTGGAATTCACTCTCCATCTTGGCTTACCCTTCTCAGGATCCCGCCTACGGGATACCAGGCAGCTTGTTGGGCCCCGATTTGTACTTGCTTCAGACAGCATAGCAGGGGTTTAGACAAGGCCCTGACCCAGGACAGATGGTCTACCAATGGAGTTACGTCTTCCTCTCAGGTATTGTCACAGAGCCTGCCACATGCATTAACTATTTTAATCCTCAGCACAACCTGTGACAGAGGTACTGATATCATCCCCACTTTACAGGGGACGCCCGTATGAAAACTGGCAGCACTGGGTTTCTAAGATCTGTTTCACACCAGAGCTATGCTGTCCTGCTCCCCATTTAGAACCACTCTCCCAGGGAGAAAACTATAACCCACCATCATCTCATTTAAAACCAGGCTCTGTCCCATCTGCCTTGTGCTTCAACAGCTGGTTTTATGGACCCAAGAGTAGTACCTCAGGTATACCTATCCGGACCTTCCCTTTTTTTTCCCCCTTTTTTTCATTGCAGTTGCCAATTGAGATTGATTTATACACCAATTTGGCAGCCCATGGTGTTGCCATCGTTCCATGTCCCACGTAAGCAGCTTTGTGTGCGTGGAACATGGGAAGTTTAGGGGTCGGGGCTTGCATAGGGATTCTTGGAGCTCAACAAAAATTTAAATGAGAAAACTGAGCCCCAGAAAAGAGAAGTGATTAGCCAGTGTCTCCCAGCAAGTTAGTGAAATAGCTGGGCTTCCCATCAGATCTCCAGACTTCTTCATCTGTAAGGGATGAGAATGTCTAACCCTTGTTTGAGAACCTTCTTCCCTAGTAGCCATCGGCTCATGCTGCAGTTATATATGTTTAAACCTCACTTACCTAACCTTGTTTTTAGCCATAAATCCTTGCCCTGTAATGACAACTACTTACCCCTTATCGTGGGGTGAACTGTGTCGCTTCTGCAGATACGTTCAAGTCCAAACCCTCATTACCTGCAAATGTGACTTTATTTGGAAGTAGGGTGTTTGCAGATTAAATCAAGTTAAAATGAGGTGTTGTTGGATTCAGGTAGGTCCTAATCTAATGACTAGTGTTCCTATAAGAAGAGCAAATAGAGATGAGACGTGGAGAATCCGTATGATGCAGACAGATATTGGAATGATGTCTCTACAAGCCAAGAAATGCCAGGGATTTCTGATAAGCACCAGAAGCTAGGAGAGAGGCATGGAATAAATTCGCCCTCAGAGCCTCCAGAAACCAACCTGGATGATAAACCTGAATTTTGGACTTCCAGTCCCAGAAGTGTGAGACAATCAATTTCTGTTTCTTTAAGCCACCCAGCTTGGGGTAATTTACTATGGCAGCCCTAGGAAATGAACGTATCCCTCCAAAACTGAATCCTGTTGTCCACATACACCTTGGTGAAAAACAGCCCTCACCTGAGAGAGGGTCTTAATGGCAGGGGGAAAGCGTAAGAACCGGAAGTGTGAGGGTCAGCCATAAAGCTCAGAGTGTGGGCTCCTAGGGCAGCAGGCAAGAGGGCACAGAAAGGAGAGGGTGGACCCCCAAGGTCCTTTCTACACCGGCCTCTCTGAGCTGGGCCAGGCGAGGACATGAGTGAAGATGCATGAGCCTTACTTACGCTTTTGCTCTGTTCTCTCACAGGCAAGGCCCTGGCGACCCAGGGGACACTGACACTTGCAGCTGGTGCCCTCAAGGATGGGCACCCCACGGAAGCAAGGTCCGCAGCGGCAGGCATTGAATTCCATCAGGTACTGATCCAAGGCCCGGCGCAGGTTCTGGCGTTTGGCCTCCAGGGGCCCCAGGTTCGTGTGCCTCAGCATCTCATGGATGGGCCGCATCTGTGGGCACAAAAAGAACAGAGGGCCCTCCCTGATCTCTGTCCAGTTTCCCAGAGCCCAAGAACATGCCAGGCACAGAGCCAGACACTCAGCTTTATCCCACTGCTTGGAATCCTTGCAGCCACTCTGCAGCTAAACTCCCCAGCAGACAGATAATGAAGTGGAAGCTCAGGAGAGTTTGGGTGACCAGCTTAGGATCACGCAATTTAGTCCCAGAGTCACTCCAAACAGGGACCTACTTGACTCTGAACCTGTAGTCCACCAATCTCAGAGGAAGAGGGGAGCTCAGAATCCATTTATGCCAACTCATCTGCCCTCTCCAGTACTTTTAAGAATCAAGGAGAGTATAAGTGTGTGTGTGTGTGTGTGTGTGTGTGTGTGTGTGTGTGTGTGTGTGTGTGTTTTGATTGTCAACCTTCAATCTAGGAATTAACAAGTCCTTAATAGGTAGTTATGTTGTCATTGCTGAGCACCTCCCCTGATGGTGGAAGGGTGGTGGTTACTTGTACGGGGGCAGCTGGGCGACGTTTACATTTGAGGCAACCCATTCCAGGCATGGCTGTAGTCCAGGGTTTCTCAACTTTGGCATTGTTGAATTTCCAGCCAGATAATTCTTTGTTGAAATTCCTGTGCATTGTAGGATGTTTGTTTTAGCAGCATCTCTAGCCGCTGTCACCCACTAGATGCCAGTAGCACCTTCTAGTTGTGAAAACCAAAGCTCTCTCCTGACATTGCCAAATGTCCCCTGGGGGACAAAATCAACCCCTGGCTGAAAGTATTGTAATAGATGTAGTAGAGTGCATGGAAGCTGGAGCCAGGAAATCTGGCTTCCAACCCCAGCTCTACTGCTTCCAGCTCTGTGATTTCAGACACGTCTTACATGGAACCTCCCTTCCTCACCTATAAAGTGAGAACAGTAGTCCTACCCTCCAGGTTTATTGTGAGGATGCAAGTTGATGCATGGAGAAGACCTGTCACGTAGTCAAAGCTAAATAAATGCTGCTCACTAAGCCCCTCCTAGATTTGGGGCTTAGAACTCTTAACTTCCTCTCTCTAAACCTGAGCCTCATTCTCTATAAAATGGGAATAATTACCTATTTTTGAGAATTCTTATGAGGCTCTAAAGAAGCAATGTATGTGAGATACTACTGCAAAAAGGAAGAACAATATAAAATAAAGCACCATTTTTATAAAGTGTGATGATAGTTTTAAAAAGCCTATATTTTTCAAATTTCATGTACATATGGTTACCTTCTTTAGCACGCTTATAATGCTATATCTTTTAACAGAGAAAATGAAAGCTGTTTTCCAGATTTCTCATCTTACAGGACAGTAACCTGAGGCCCTGAGAGGGGAGTCATTGGCCAAGGTCACTGAACAGTTCAGAGACAAGACTCAGCCACACTGGAACAATCTCTCTGCTCTAAAATCAGAGTCCACAGAGGGCATCGCAATAGCCTTGAATGGGTTCCTGGAAATGTGTACAGAAGACCTGTGGCAAACAGACCTTGGCCTGTGGTCAGGGGCTCTGGCTGAGGTCATCGGGTTGGTCCTGTCAGGACTAGCTGGGCCTCCACCCAAGAGAAGACAACTTACTGGAAGTTCAGGGAATTTGGCCCCATTGTTAGGAAGTCAGTGCAAAATGGGCTGCCCTGTGGCCCTGGTTAAAAGTGACCCTTAGTTCCACGGAAAGCCCCAGGACCATTGGGCAACTTGTCTTTGACCTTCCAGAGAAATTCAGCACTCAGTCCCATATCTCTCACTTCTCCCTCCCAGAATCCTCAGCAAGAGGAAAGGGAGCACTTCTTAGGAAACCCTGGTGGGGACGTAACAGAGGAAAGGGTGGTGGCAAACAAGAATCTTAGAATGTCAGAGCTTGAAAAGATGTTGGCAGTGGTTGTGTTCCCATTTTGCAGATGAGCAAACAGATTCAGAGAAGGCAGCACAATGTAACCTAACACATAACATAATAATATATAACATAACACAGCATCATCACATCACATCATATAACAGATTCCTATATTTACTCAGTCTAAGTACCTGCCATAACTAAGTACCACTAAGCTCTGGAGATATGCAAGTGAATGAGACACTGTTTCCACTCTGATTATCAGGTTCCCTAATTTACCCCTTTGTCCATAGCGTCTCTCTCTCTCTCTCTCTCTCTCTCTCTCTCTCTCTCTCTCTCTCTCTCTCCTTTGATTCATCCTTCATACCTCTGTAAGCATTCTCCTTTTAAAAGCACAGATTTAGCTTCCCTGCTCTATAACCTGTCAGCAGCGTAATGCATCAAATTCAAACTATTCAGGGGGTAACATGGGTTGTGATTGTGGGTGTTCGAGTCAGTCAGATATGGCTCAAGTTGCACTCTGCCATTGACCAGACACTACACTTGGCCAGCTCACTTAACCTCCATAAACCTGTTTCCTCAGCTGGTGTTTACTAAGTACCCACTTCTCTCTCCCTAACTTGTGACATAACATTCTATTATCCTCATGTTATAGAGCAGGAAAATGGGGCTCAGAAACTGAAGCAACTTGTCCAAGGTCACACATCAAAAAGGTAGCTGAGCCATGAACCAAACTCTATCTTTTTCACCCCAAACTCAGGCTCTCTTTCCCTAAAGATGGCATTCGGTCTTCTCCAGGTCATGAATGAGTCTTTCCCTAGGAAGTTTTGCTCAAGGCTAACACAAAATTCACCTCTTGCCCATGAAAGTTTATATATTACTCCTGAAATCAATTTTACAGTTTTTGCTCAAATCTAACAGCTGGATGATAGCATTTTTTTCAGACCCTATGTGAATTACAGGTGTGTAAAAGTGCTCCCTTATTGAAGAAGAAATGAAATCAGGGTTAATTCATCTGACCTCTTTCTTTATAGAGAGCAGGATGTTACAATACACTTTTATGTTTAACTGTTGGTATATATTTCAAAAGGAGGAATGTGTCCATACCTGGAATTTAAATTATATATATAGAAAATGGGCAAGGATCAGGAAAAATTAGGCAGAAAAACAATAATGTTTTGTTTAAAACCCCAAAATATAACTCTTTTTTTTTAATGGATTGCCCTTACATATGAATAGAAGTCGTTTGATAACTGATAGAACCATTACTTATTTGCAGTTAGAATATGATTTTACCCTCTTTGTGAGGTTAGGGATTTAAGGCAAGGTTTCTCAACCTTAGCACTATTGCTATCTTGGGCTAGATATTTCTTTGTTGTGGATGCTGTCCTTTGCATTATGGGATGTTTAGCAACATCCTTGGCCTCTGTCCTCTAGATGTCAGTAGCACCCTCCCAGTTGTGACAATCAAAAATGTCTTCAGATAGTACCAAATTTCAATGTGGGAGCAAAATTGCCCCCAGTAGTTGATAACCATGGCTTTAAGGAAGGTACTAGACTAGAGGGAAATGGGAACGGGATAAGAAGCCCAAAGGTCTGAGATCCAGGTACTGCCACATATGAGCTCTGTGACCTTAAACAAATCACTTGAGTGCTTGGAACCTCGGTTTCCTCATCTTTTCAATGGGGAGAATCATGTCCCTGTTAGAGGTTCATTGTGATGAGGAGATGAGATTATTTTAAGCAAGGGCAGCAAACTACAGTATCAGCTTGTTTTTATATGGCCTTTGAGCTATGAATGGTTTTTATGTTTAGAAGATTGTAAAGAAGAAAAAGAAGAACTTTTATAGCAGAGACTGTGCATGGTCCACAAAGCTTCAAATATTTACTATCTGCTCCTTTACAAAAAAAGTTTGCCAACCCCCAATTTAACAGATGCAGTTTTTTAAACTCTTTTATGTATAAATGCAAGTTATTATTTTTTTTTAATGTTGCCCAATCCTGAAGAAGTTCTGAGACTACTAATGTAAAACTAGGCACTGATGTTACACTTTTGACCCCAGCTCTCCTGCAACCTGGGTCGAAAGTCACATACTCCCTAGGTATGGGGAGGGCCACCAGTTCAGTGTGCCGTTAACATTTAATCTTGTTCTTTGATGGGCTCATAATAAGAAATATGAAATGATCTGGTCTGTTTCACTTTCATTCCTTGTGGATGAAGAGTTTCTTCAACTGCGAAAAGACTTACCTCAAAATCAATAACAGCAGGGCTATACTTTAATGATCTCCCCCAGAAACGGTACGTAATGATGCTCCCGTTGTGTGCCAAGCCACCACCCCAGCCAGTACTGCCACCTCGCACCCGAGAAATGATGTCTTCCACAGCCATGGCCTTAAGGTCAGAATCTATCAAGAGGATAACTGCATTAGCTCATTTCCCCAAAAGCCAGAGGACAGGTTAGCAAGCGCCACTAATAAGACAGGGGATAAAGTTTACATACTGTCCTTAGAGCTGTGTCCCATTCTCTTACCTTGCTCAGTTAGCTAACAAGACAAAGCAGAAGATAAGGACCAACACTTAGAAATAGACCCATCCTCTGAATTAGAGCAGAAAATTGGAGGATCACCCAGCCCGACAAGGAGGAGGGAGAGGATGAGAAAAAAATGGAAGATGATTCCTTCATTTGTTCATTCATACATAAGATGCTTACTCAATGCCTTCTACATGCCAAACAGGTTCAATTAAACAGTAAATGTCTCTATGGGGCTCAGTAGGGGTGTAGAGAAAGACACGGTCAGATCTACAGTAGGGTGAGGGACTGGTCAGGAAGACAAGTGAATGTTCTAGAAAAGTGAATGAATCTTTGCAGGTAAATGGAGAGAGGAGGGAAGGTGATCAGAGAAAAGCAGCACTTTGACTTAAGGCCCTGAGGCAGGAGTAGCCTAATGCAATGGGAGTAACTTCAACCTGTTTCATATCTACCGCACCCACTACTCTAATCCATGTTTGATGAATGAATGAGTGAACACTCATATTGACTTGTTCAGGAAATGCCATAAAATATTCCTGCACAACCTTTCTCTAATAATTATTCGTTGAGCTTGGGCTTGATAACCATACTCTCCTCTCTCAGGAACTTCTTTCCTCCCTTTAGACTGTACCTTGATGGGCCTTTATCACAACAGTTGATTTTCCAGGTTCGGTCTACACATTCCTTTCATCCCAGGGCCGTGGGTCTTAGATCTTTGTCTAGTACTTGAAATCTTGGAGCAGGCACCCTACAAAGTCAGATGTTTCTAAGGCAATCTCAGCCTATGATAAGTCAAAATACAGCCACGAAAGGTCATGGGTTTGGAGTATTTAACAGCTATGGAGTTAGACCGTTGACTGAAATGGAATCCATTAGGAGGAAAAATAGTGTCCATGCCTTGATTTTGTGTCCAAGGGAAAGTCTGGCTTTGCTTTCCGGGAAACCCATTACTAAATACTTACCTCTTTCACCACCTCCATGCTTTCTACAGTCTTCTCCTGATAAACGTCCTCCAATGTTCACAGTATCCGAATAATCATAGCCAAGGCCCACAAGGCCTCCAAAGCATTTCGTGATGTCTTCTTTGGTGATGCCTGCAGCAGGGACGCAGAGAAACACAACATGCTGAGATGCTAAAAGACTGTGAATACTGTACGACCAGCTCACGGCAGTAAGAGCTAGCTTTGGTTTTGGAGTCTAAGAGATCTGGGTTGAAATCCCAGCTCTTTAACCCAATTTCAGTGTTCTCCTCTATAAGGTTCCAACCCAAATAATTCTTGAAATGAGAAGGAGTACGTGTCACACGTACTAGTTGTGTGCAAATAGTGCTAGTCCCCTTTCCTTTGCACATTCCCCACGGAGCCTCCTGCAGGCAGTGAGTCTCATCCATCTCCATGTAACCCTGTGCCCAGCACAGCGCCTGGCCCAATTGTACTCTGAAATTTTGCATATGTTGCCCCTTCTTCTCTCCCTTTTACTGTCTTTCCAAAGTCTACTCAAGCTCCAGTTCAAATGTCATTTATACCATGAAGCATTTTTGGATCAGAATACTTCTCGTGTCCTTCAGAGCTACCCGTGTGCTTGGTATACGCCTGAATGATCATCATTGTCACAATTCTTTCTGCCCAGGTTCTCTTTGAACCTCAGAGAGGCCGGAGGGTTGTTAGAAGATGACACAATCTCCATAGGGAGTCTGCCTGCCTCCTGACCCCAGGAGAACTGTGAGTCCCAAACTAGCTGTCTCAGTATGTGTCTACATCTCTGTATGTGTCCCGTTGAGAAACTTCCATTTTGCAGATGAGAAACATAATCCTCAAAGCAGTAAAGCCCTGTTGCTCTGATCCCACAGCCTGTAAATGAACAGAGCTGGGTTTCCATTCCTTGGTTGGACTGACAATGTAAGGCTAGAAAAGCAGACTGAAGCAAGAAGATACTGACCACTGCTGCAAAATCCAACTCTATCTGCAGCTAAAGTCTTCTGAAGTTTGTGAATGGGGAGTTTGTATTTTTGAAATATCATTACTTTTAACTGCAACTATATCATAATTATTACCAGTCATTATATTATTCTAGCAACCACAAAGGAAAATAATCGGCCTATAATTCAGCTGAGCTAAGGATCAGATTGAATATTCTCAAGGGAGTGTTCAGCAACAAAGTTTACTTGCCCACATCCCCTTTAAACTGCAAACTCTATGCGCTCAAGGTCTTATATGTTATTCACCACTCTTTTGTCCACATAGCAGCACAATGCCTACCGTGAAGGAGGAGGTTAGTGACTTTTTCAGAATAATGATTGATGAATGAATAAAATGAGTGAATAAATGAATGCTTTGGTAAGGGCTTGTGATGGAAAGAATCTTATAAGTCAGGAATCCTGAAATCACATCCCAGTCACTTGGATGAATGGATAAAGAAATTGTGATTTTATAGATAGATAGCAAGATAGATAGATAGATAAATAGATAGATAGATGATAGATCTATAGATATACATATATTGGGTTGTCGGAAAAGTCATGACGTATTTTTTCTGTTTTTTTGTTGCAAAAATGCATCATGACTTTTCTGACAACCCAATATATAATTAAACACACATACACACACATATATTTAAATATTGTTGAGCCTTAAAGAATAAAGAGACCCTGCTATTTACAGCACCATGGGTGAACTTGGAGGACATTATGCTAAATGAAATAAGCCAGACACAAAAAAAAAAAAAAGAAAAAGACTGCATGATCTCCCTTACATGTGGCATCTAAGAAAGTCAAAATATAGACGCTGAGAGTAGAACAGTGGTTGCCAGGGATCAGGATGTGAAGGAGATAGGGACATGCTGGTCAAAGAGAACAAAGTCACAGTTATGCAGGATGAGTAAGTACAGAGAGCTAAGGTACAGCCTGCTGACGGTTGTTAATAATATTGTATTGAGCACCGGAAACATGCGAAGAGCGTAGTCTTCAGCTGCTCTTGTCCTGCGCACACCGAAAAGGTAACTATGTGAGAAGGTATGTAAATTAGTTGGTAGTAATCATTTCACTTTGTATCTGTATATCAAATCATCACGTTGTATACCTTACATATATACAGATTTTATTTCCTAGAGGTGTAAAACAAAAAACCCCAGTCAGTGACACCCTGTATGAACTTAGCAAGGGCCCATGATCTCACTGGGTCTCAGTTTCCCCTTTACGGAGGAAAGCAATTGGACTGGTTCATCCCCAAGGCCGCCTTCAGCCACAGCCCTATATGACTCTGGGCACATCCATTTCTAAATAACTCGCTTGCTGCAAGTGCCTGTGAGAAGTGATGTTCTAAGCACCAGCACTCAGCACCAGGCAAAGGGCTTCTTCTACCATTTCCATTCAAGCACTTTTAATTTTTAATGCATTACTAATTGGGGAAGATTTAGCATATTTAATTGTTTTGATTAAAAAATGCTTCAACAGTGATAAACAAAAGTGGATGAAAGGAGTTCATGGGCAGAAGCCAGAGTAATTACCTAGGTGAGTGGTGGAGTGCTGCCGAATTAAAGTGACAGGACTGGCTGATTAATGGGGGCTGGAGGATGCCTGTGGATTGATTATGCTCATGAGGGTCTGCTGACAGTCTGCCACGTGCTGCTGGGAGAAGAGAATTCCAGCTCGCTTAATTTGAAAAGCACAACTTGAATTACTGCAAAAGAATTACCTTCTGAAGACCCCGAAGTGAGGCACCAGCTAGGAAGGGCAGGTCTGTGACTTAATCGAACCGTGTGAGAGCTAAGAGTGTCCTTAGACACCTAGCCCACACTTCTCATTTTTAGTTGTGATGCCCTAGGTTCATAAAGGTTAATTATCTTGCCTAAGGCCATACGGCTAAAAAAATGGTGGAGCTGAGACTCAGACTCAGGTCTGTGCGTCTTAGAAGCCTGTTGTGTTTTCAGTAATTCCAATTATTGCATCAGACTAAAGAATTCTGCTGTCAGAAAAATTTAGTAAGCACCTACTATGTATCAACCCCAGCACACTGTGTGTTGGGCAATGTAGACACAGTGAGATTAAAACTAAAAAGAATATGATGCAGATGTGAATAAGTGGGTTTCTTATTGGGAAGCCAGCAGGTTTGGACAATATATTAAATAGAGTAATTTGTATCTGAGAGTTGCTTGTTTCAGTACACCAGGGCTTGATAAGGGGTCTCTCCAAAAGCCTTGGGGGAGGCCAAATCCAAGATGTCTACAGAGCACCCATGGGAAACCAAGATCAGAGAGCTGAGGTGGGTGCAGAGGGGTCAAACGTGGTTCCAAAACCCAAGGCTTGAAACTGGAATTGGAAGCTAAGACACAGAACCAGAGAGAAGGAAGCTAAGAGCAGAGGAGGCAGCAGGGAGAAGGAGCAAACCTGGAGCAACTGGGTAGCCCGGGCCCAGATGGGTGTGGAGCAAAGGTAGATGGACTATATCTATAGAACCAGGCAATGCTCTGCCTGGGCTCTGCCCTCGTCTCATCAGGCTGGACACCTTAGATGTCAGCTTTGGACTAGATCACACTTGCATTTGTTTTGGCTTCTGAACTCAGTGAACCCTGGAGTTGATGGTTCCTAAACCTGGCTACATGTGGAGATCATCTGATTGTTATTACAAATGCAGCTTCCTGGGCCCCAACTCTTGATTCTCAGCCTGTATTTCTGAACAATCTGTATTTTAAACAAAGCGATTTATCCCAGGTGAGTCCTCTGCAGTGCATCTGGGACCAGATTTTGAGGACTGCGGTCCTACAGAGAACCTCAGGTGGCCTGCTGCAGGGCGCTGGCCTCTGTCCTGCCTCGTGCATTTGTCACTGCCCTGGATATGGACTCAGCAGCCAGGTGTATTGTATCTAACCCAAAAGAAGAAATGAGGAAAAGACAAGGATACTTCAGATTAAGAATCAGTATCCAAAAAGCCCTCAGATGCCTGGATGGATAGTCAGACCAAGCATAGCAAAATGAGGCTTGGTTGGGAAAGCTGTAATATCCTACCCTGGGGACAAAATACCAAATGCACCAGCTCAGTAAGGAATGGATGCTGCTTAGCAGAAGCACAGGAGAAACGGCCATTGAGTTTTAGATAACTTCCACTTCAGCAGGGTAATGAAGCCAGGTGAACATTATAATCCATAAAGTAAAGGAAGGGATCAGCTCACTCTCTGCACAGGTTAGAGAAACCCAGAGCCTGCTACAAAGTTCTGGGAGCCACACTTTATTATTATTATTATTATTTTTTAGCTGAGCCATCCTGCTACCTGTTGGCAGCTCAGCGGCTGCTCAGCTCGGGCTGGACTCGAACCGCTGTTGCTCAGAGCTCAAACTCTTGAGCGAGCTCTTAACCAACTGAGCCATTCAGCCGGCCCTGGGAGCCACACTTTAAAAAGGAAATAAGAGAAAGGACACTTATTGGACAGTATTCAGCCTTAGAAAAGAAGGAAATCCTGCCATGTGCAACAACATGGATGAACCTTGAGGACTTGATGCTAAGCAAGATAAGCCAGTCACAGGAGGACCAATACTCCATGATTCCACTGATATGAGGTGTGTAAAATAATCAGTCGCATGGAATCAGAGAGTAGAATTGTGGTTTCCAGGGGTTGAGGGGAGGGGGGGAAATGAGGGGTTGCTAATCAACAAGCATACAATTTAAATTACGCAAGATGAACAAGTTCTAGAGATCTGTGCAGCATTGTCCTGTAATTAACTATAACGTAGTGTCCATTTAAAATGTTGCTAAGAGGGTAGATTCCATGGTAAGTGGTCTTACCACAATAAAATACAGCTTAAAACAAAAGTAGGGAATGATTGGAGAAGGATAAACATGAGGATGATGAGGGTTAAGAAAGTCAAAGCCATTTCCTTTGGTGACAGGGATGGGACGTTTACCTGAAAAGGGAGGGAAGGTCTCTTTTTTAAGAGAGTTTAATAGACCTGGATTCAACTCTCCAGGGGGTTGTGTTGAAGAAGAGGAGTGAGGCTTGTGTGTGGTCACAAGGGGAAGAACTAGGACCCAAAAGGCAGAAGCTACAAAGAGACGGGTTTAGGCTCAATATCAGGTCAATTGTCTTGATGCTCAGAGGCCAA